TATATCTTTATGTTTGAAGCCTGAAATGTGGCAAAAGGTTGAAAAGTTCAAGGGGGCCGAATACTTTCGCAAGGCACTGTACATCCATACTAAACCTGACATTGATGTGACTGTCTATTCTATCTCATTGCATCTCCGACGTAAAAACATGGATGACTCCAAATTCCCTTCATCTAAACTGTGACAAGACTGAAGTCATGCTTATTGGCACCCTTCATCAACTTTGTAAGGCCAATGCTGTAACCCTATCTGTGGATGGTACTGTACTTGAACTTCAGTCTAAACTGAAAGACTTGGGGGTAATATTTGATTCAGGCTTGACATTTGACCCACACATGCAACATATTGTCAAAACTCATATTGAATCTTTCTTTCATCTCCGAAATATCGCTAGACTATGTCCTATGTTATCGCTAACTGTGGCTGAAAAGCTGATCAACACATGTTTCTTCTCCTGAAACGACTACTGTAATGCTCTACTCGCTGGGGTTTCTAAATCCACATTGAACAAACTCCAGTATGTGCAAAATTCGGCAGCCAGAATCCTGACCAGGTCTAGTGCAAGTGATCACATTACTCCTATCCTGGAGTCCTTCCACTGGCTCCCTGTCAAGTTTTGTGTCGACTTTAAAATCCTCCTGCTCACCTATAAGGCTCTGCCTGGCTTGGCACCTTAGTACCTGTCTGAGCTATCATCCCCCTACTGTCCACCTCGCAACCTTCACTCTTCAAATTCTGGTCCCCTGTCCGTCCCCCAAGCCCATCTACACTCTATGGGTGACAGGGCCTTCTCCTGTTATGCTCCCAAGCTCTGGAACTCTATCCCTAAGGATATCAGAGAGTCACCTTCTCTAAACTCCTTCAAATCCACACTCAAAACCTTCTTCTTTAAGTGTCTTTACTTAACTGGTTCTGTGCCTCGCCCCCCTGCTCCTACTGTATTCAGTACTCCCATCATCATCATCATCATCATCATCATCATCATCATCATCATCAGGACTGTAATCCCAGGTTCTCATGATGCAGGTCCCCTTGATTGTGAGTGTGCAGAATCCTGGCCAGTCAATCACATATTTTTGGTGATATTTTTCTGTTTGGTTTTCATCCACTCAACATCAAACACCCAAAATATTTGAGATACATATTTTTTTCAATACAAAAATGGGCTCAGCTGTTAAACCGATCCCGTCACTGTTGGGCTCAGGGTCGCACATTCGTTGCCTACAGCTGAACAAACTCTGCTTTTCTGAGGAAGAAACCATTGCATTTCAATAGTTCAGTCTGCTTCACTGCTTCACTGTTAATTCTGAAGACATTCAGTTGCTTGTCTTTGCGCCTTTGGGGATTTTGAAAGCCGGAATCTGATGGCTGTATTGTGTTCTCGGTTCAAAACACAAATAGACACAAAATAGTGTCGAACGCTTGTCACTTCGGAACACTTCAATAAAACAAAATGGAGTATACACAATGTTATTTAAAGGCATGTGGAATTGTCGTTAAGTGTTTTATTCACAGAGAACTATCCGTAGACTATACTTTATTATTATACTATACTGTACTTTGAAATTACATCAGGTTGCTCAGATTTCTTTCAGCAAGAAGCTGCTTTGAGCAACAACAGGCACTGATATTTTCAAGACCATTACTGAAGCGTCAGGGGTGACCTAAAGATTTCTATACTAACAATCAGTACAACACCCGTCCACTTTTTCAGTCTTTTCCGTGGAATGTTTGGTTTTGTGGGTCCTAAAATAGAAACATCTAAGAAAATGTAAGGATAAAAACTGAAATGTAGGAGCTGTGTTCACTGTGATAAAGTTCTGGTGTATAAATATATCAAACGCATCCAGAAATGTAAATGAGCATTGCAGCCGGTTTCATTTTTCTTGATGTGCAATGTGCAAAGCGAATAAAGCACTCGGACATTCATGGGTGGCTTCTATTTTTGAATAAAAGAGAAAAAGCCGATAGGAACAGCAAGTTAAAGGAAACTCCGGACGAATAAAAGCCGTATGTCTGAATCATTCATCACCAAGGAAACTCTATGCATGAGCTTCACATCAGGAGCGGCTGAAATCCAGCCCCGTTACCTTGGTGATTCTTCAGTCCCATTCACTCTACCACAATCTCACAATCTTGAGAAATTCTCTGGCGTAATATACTAGTCTATTATAGATACGATAATATAACAAGAAACGGAATTGGAAACGGAACCCATAATTTTATATAGCATGCTTCGACTTTATTTGAAAATGAAGTTAATCGTGTATTTAAATCATTAAATAACTTCTAGCTTACTTTTGAAGACGTCCTAGACTTTTTGGTACACGTAATGAAATGTTTTTAGAGTTTCATACTACTAAGTGCAGGTCTTCACAAAGCGTCTCTCTGCGCATTTTAAAAACTGTTGTTTTCGGAAAGTGCGAGCATTTGTCACGCAAAACCATGTCTTACGTTTGTGGCTTGAACTTGCTTTGATTTTTTTTCCCCCAGTGTGAAACAGGTCCTGCAGGGTACCTCATCTCCAGAGCGAAAAGCTTCCTCAGGCACGGCTACCCCTTGTCGAGTTCGCACTAGACTTGCGTTTTTTTCGACATTCGGGTTCTAGAGTTAGTTAATAAATATAGTTATTAACTGTAATGAATATAGTTAATAAAGTTTATTTTACACTTCCCAGAGCATTAAAAAAAAGGAGTTTCGAGATTCATCGCGGCTTAGTTTGTGTTTTTGTCTTTTGGAAAAAATGTAATTTATAAATGACAAGTGCAGAAAAAAATCATTTTTCCAAACTGATATTCAACCAGCCTTTGGCCACCCCTTTCCATTTTACAGGCCCGTGTATTTGACACTGTTTTATTCTCCTAAAGAAAATGCGTCGACATTTTTTTGGAAAAATTCTTATTCTACCTTTCCCTGCATAGTTACAGGTTACAAGTTACACAGGTATAGGTACATTCTTGTGTACGTATACCTCACATCTGAACCCCGTACTGGGGTGTTCATGTTTGACCAGGGCTGAGAGGCGGCTCTTAACGGAGAGCTTCAGCGTCACCCAGTCACCAGGCGTTTGCAATTTTGCTTCCAGGCACCCGCACAACTTCCACGCCCTTTTGAGATTTTGAGATTCAAGAAGACTGTGCCGCTTACTTCGCTCTTCTGAGGTGTTAGAATACGGTGTTATAGTAATCTAGCCCTCCGGGTTTTTTTTTTTAAAGAAGACCCCCGCTTTCTTTGACTGCTGTTGGCATTGCATTTCCAGAAATGAACTTGTAACTGCGAGGCGACTCTCGGTGATTTTATTGTTTTATTTCACCCTCTCGCTGTTTTGGAAACGTTCGGTTCAAGACCAACTAGGTAAGTACCACGGTCGTTATTGACTCTATTTGTATAGGAAAATGTATATGTTTTTCTTTTTTTAGCATTGGTTTAAGTGTAGATCGACTTCGATGCGAGAAACTTTCCAATCACTAATTCCTCGACGGATTGGTTAAGCACATGAGAGAGATTATCAGGTGTAGCTGGGCTACTTCCAAAGTGTAGGTTGCACATCCATTATCAGAAAACCGAGACCATGACCAAACCCGGCTTTCTTTGTGGGGTTAATTTTAAAACGTCCGATTTCTGGCAATATCCTAGACTACACGAAACTGATTTAGTGGTGATGTGGATTGTTACGAACCTTTTATCCGTTGAGTGCATAATATTTGTAAGTGTTATCTAGATGGAAGCTGATTTTGTTAGTATTTTAAATATGGTGATTTTGACTGCATTTGGTTTGAAATACGGCGGATGTTTGTGCGAACCGTTTTATAGTTGTGGTCTTATTTAACGAGATATTGCAGACATTTCTAATAACCAGAAATACCGTTTCTTGATGTATAAAGCCATACATCACCCAGCGTCCCCTCTGAGATATCTCAAGGCTGGTATGAGTAAGCATGCTTTCTGCTGTTTCAGGTAAATTCTCTTTCTCATAAACCGACGGATGTTTAGTTTGAAGTTATTGGATTAAAAAGACGTTACAATAGTGTTAGAGGAGACGAGAGAGATACAGTGGCCGGTGTCCTTGCAAGCAGCTTGAATAGAGGGTATGGCAGCGCTTTTAACTTTTAAAAACTGAGCAAATATCTTTGTTACCTTGGGACAGAATAGTTTTGTCATATAATGAGAATTGTGAGTGATTTTCCGAAACTAAAGTTTAGGGAGTGCCAGTATGAAAGACAAATATAAGCTATTGAAAAGGAGAAAAGAAGGTTTGACTTAAATAGGATTTAGAGGGTTTTTTTTAGCACATTCAGCTTGTACTTGTGAAGATAGCGACCATTTTCTGAGCCCTAATTATTTTTGACATTTTGTGGAATTTAGTTAAAATTTGGAGTTGTGTAAGCTGACCGAGGGAGGAAACTTTGAGAAAAAGTAGGGAACTCAATAGAATTTTCTTTGCTTTTTGTTATTTAAACTATTTATTCTAAATGTCTTATACGACTTGGTAGTGTCTAGTAACTAAGAGTGAATACAATTATTTTCCATTTCTACAAAGTAGTTTTTTTTTTCTTGCTTAGCATATCAGAGTGACATATACTTCTCGTTTAGTAATAATAAAGTTATTTTATATAACAACTTTAGAAGTAGCTTCTCAAAGCAGTTTACAGTAAGAAAGAAAACAATGGCAGAAGATAAGAGTTAGCGTAATTAAAAACAAGATTTTAGAACGCAGTACAAGATGTAAAGGGGCAGACATCAATTAAGTAAAAGCCTTTCTGAAGAAGAGGGTTTAAAGTCTATATCCGTAAGCATTCAGAGTTGGTGACTCTTTGATATCCTTGGGGTTCTTTAGGGGGAGAGTCAGGAGAAGGCCCTGTCACCCACCGAGTGTAGACAGGCTTTGGGGACAAAGAGGGGACCCAAGCCTTGTTCAGATTAACAAAGGTTGCAAGCCATGCAGAGCCCTATAGGTGAGCATGAGGATTTTAGTGTTGCCATGAACCTGATAGGAAGCTGTTGCAAGGACGTCATGACAGGGGTAATGTGATCCTTTGGTCAGGATTCTATGTGCTGAATTCTGGAATCAGGGCAAACTGGTTTGGCTAACCAAAGACCCAGTAGATACTGTATAAGAACTCGACTGTATGTACTTTACTGTGATTTTGGAGTAAAGTGTACAACTGACTCTGCTTTTCATATTGGCAGATAGCTCATTAGACAGGTTTTCTCAGCGTTTCAAACTTCTGTTGCAAAAGTTAGTTTTTTACTCAAATCTGCTATCCTGTCAAATGGCAAAATCCTGCAAACTGTGATTCGTGAACATATTACACATCAAAGGAAGTCTAGATTTTAAAAAGACTGTGGGTGGAGGTTTGAACTTTTGATACATTCATATTAAAGGGTGTGTTTGCTTTGCCACATTTTAGATATTAAATTATTAACTGCACTGGGTTTACTTGGGTCTGTAAATGAGGTTCAGATTTAACTCTAGAGTATAACCACTTATCTACTATCCCACTGTTCACAATTTTTTTTCCAGTTATGTGCAATGGCCCTACCTATTTAATCAAACAAGATGTGGTTGTCACTGACGCACAGTGTTAAGCTGATTTGCTCAGTTTTCCCTAATCATGTCACAACTTTACTCCACCCACTCAAGGCAAATTCCCAAAGTAGCCTATGATGGTGGATATCAGTATGATAGGCATTGCTGGCATCTACCTAATGGTAAAGTACTGGTTGACAGATGATTTGACATTTGGAATTCTGGATCTAGGAGCTGTGGAAAATGCAACAGGCTCTGCTCTTTTAATTCGGTAGAAGGTTTGTTCAGTCTCTCTAGTTTTTCTTATAACTACAGTACTTTGTTGGTGTTGCTGCTTCTGTTATTAGACAGTTCTTCTAAATAAACATACATTACATAACATATGGAGGAAAACATTGTCCAGGAAACGCACTTTAACTATAGTAATGGAAGAGAAAATACTCAAGGATTAATTTAAATGTGAAAGTATAGTAAATGATTTGGGGTCTGATTTAGAGTTATTTAAGAGTAATGAAATGTATGTGTGCGGAGACAGGCAAAAATGTAAACTATTCACAGAAAAGTACAGCGAGTGGGGGAGAACGCAGTGTGTTTGTGAAATTTAAACTTAAAGAGACCCTTAAAGAATATTGTCTGCCTGACAGTATTGGAAAATGTTGATGTTAAAAGCTAGAATTAGTTTATTACTGTACGTTTGGATCTAGTAAATATGACCTGTCACCCATCTAACCTCTAAGGAGGGGAGAAAGTTGGATTTTGTTTAGGTCAGATTTTTATTTTAAACATCAGAACAGAGGCAAGATAAGCAATAAACAACAAAACAAGTTTAACCAGTTTTTCCCTTCCTCTCTGCCCAGACCCCACTATAATGAAAACTACACTAGTCTTTCTGTTAGAGAGAATACATATTGGCACTTAATACTTAACAAAGACCTTTTCGTTGGTGTTAGTTAAAAAGTCATGTTTTTTTTTTCTCTTGCAGAGCCATGAACTTTTGCAAATCAAGATCACTAAGGTTATCGACCTGGTACTTCCTGTTCTTTCTGCTCTTAATTTGCATTCTCTTTGTGAAAGTGGAATTTAGAACCAGTGATCCTGCATTCTCTACAGACAGTTCAGAAAGGGAAGCTTGGCAATTTTGGAAACATAATACCTTTTCAAAACCCACTTACACAACTGCAACGCCCCAGAAGCCCAGCTTCAATTGTGAGGTCAATGTCAGTGTCAATGACTCACTGATCCCTGAGGACCTTCCTGAAATGCATCGCACTTTCATGAAATACAAACACTGCAGGGAATTTCCGGTTTTGATTAAGCCCAAGAAGTGCGAAGATGACCTTTATCTCTTGCTTGCGATCAAGTCCACGGCGATCAACGTGGACCGGAGGGTTGCGATCAGGAACACCTGGGGCAAAGAGGTGGCCATAGGAGGCAAGAAAGTCAAGCTGGTGTTTCTCGTTGGCCAATCATCAGACAAAGTTAGAGCACACTCTCTGCACCAGCTCCTGTCCTACGAAAGCAAGCAGTTCAGAGATATACTGCAGTGGGACTTTGTGGACAATTTCTTCAACCTCACGCTCAAAGAAGTCAACTTCCTGTCTTGGTTCAGACAGGAGTGCCAGAGTGCCAAGTTTGTGTTCAAAGGGGACGATGACGTTTTTGTGAACACGGGTAACATTGTGGAGTACCTCAAGGACTTAAACCCTACGGAACATCTCTTTGTTGGCGATGTCATTTTTGTGGCCCATCCGATCAGAAACCCGAAAAACAAGTACTTTATCCCCAAGGAGATGTACTCCAAAAATACCTACCCTCCCTATGCTGGCGGAGGGGGTTACCTCATGTCTCGGAAGACTGTGGTGGGTTTAGATCTTACAGTCAAAGATGTTGAAATTTTCCCGATAGATGATGTCTTTGTTGGGATGTGCCTGCAGAGAATGAATGTGACCCTGGTCTTCCACCCTGGCTTCAAAACATTCGGAATTGGGCGGCCCGTCAATGCTTTTGACCCCTGTATATACAAAGAGCTCATGATCGTTCATAAACTGAGCCCCTTAGAAATGTGGATCATGTGGACTTTAGTAAATGATGAGAGCATGATATGTGCCAGATCTGTGATCAGTGAACAAAGGTCTCTGCAGTGAATGTGCTGCATAGTATTTTCTTGTTTCCCCTTTTTGCAATAAAAGGAAAAATGGAGATGGGGTGGGGTTTAAATAATAACTTGTAAGTATGAGCACTTATTGTGGGAAAAGTACATCTACATACCTGAAGTGCAGTGTAAGAGCTCATCTGTGGATAATGTCAGAGTCATCTCTCAGGCGCTGAAGGTTACTGGTTAGGGTGAGCAGGTGATATTAGTGAAATCCCAGCCAGTGTGTTTGTAACTGGGCCTTGTGAGTGGAAAGCATTGCAATTAAAAACACAATAGCTGGTTAGGAAAAGTATTTATATTTGCAACGTCTGCCACATTGACGGCATTTGTCATAAAGCCATAGCAGACAATAAAAATGAAGGATGGGCATTCAGTCATGTCACCTGTACCTCAGGAGCTCCTAGCTGAATCCCTCCTGACTCCTGTTTATGATGGCACTCATTATGAGAAAACGAGTTCAATTTGACACTGAAGAGTTTCATCGTTCCTTTGTTATAGAAAGTGGATTAAGATTTTTTCTCAGGAATGTTTCCCGTAGTTTTCAAGTCACAGCAATAAAGTTTCTATTAATCTCTAATGTTATGCCTATTATTCTTGTTATTGATATTAGCTTGATCTGTGTTCAGCTATTTTGAACCTGTTGGGGGAATATTAAACTTTTATATAACTTTGTTTTCATACATTTTAATTGAGTGTGACTGTGGCAGGGTTAAACTTTTGTATCTTTTTTTTTAAAACTGTTTCCAGTTAACAAAAATGACAGATGGCTATCACCAGACATAGGGCAACTGTGGAGCCTGTTGGACAGCTTATGCACTTTAATTTAAGATGTTTTCTTAGCTGAACCTTTTGTGTACTGCTTAATGTTAACTGTAACCACATATTATGTATACTTCCATCAGCACATTGGCTTTAGACTTCACATTAACAAAGAAATAAAACAATCCTGTGGAAAATAAACTGGGGGTAAAATATACTTTAATAATTGAATTGTTTGTCCTACTGAATAAATGTACATCAGTTCCATGCACTAAAGATTTGACCTTTTCTCTGAACTGATATTCATGACAGTCAGAACCAGTTCTACTGATTTGGTTTTTATGGGGGATAATTTCAGATCAGGATCTTTCTAGATTAATGTCTTAAACATGTATTTAATGAGAGCTTGGAGACTGCAAACTGTGTTATTTGGGTGACACTGGAGAAAAATAAACACATTTTTCAAAAACATGAAATAGTCCTACATTCTATAAATTTCTTTGCTTCTGGACCTAAATTTCACAGCTGGTATCTTCCTTCTTTATTACACCTTCAGGTCAAATATTTTTACTTCATTTATAAGATTATGTACTGTTGATGTGTATTTTTGTAATTATTTGCATCGAAGGAACTTTGAATGTGAGGAATATAGTATTATATAATGTGAGAGGAGGCTATTTGGCCCATCTTGTCTCTTTTGTGGTTAGCAGTTCAGTTTTTTCTTGAGAGAAGCCTGGCTATTGGCTTTACCATGGCTGGGTATGTTGTTCCCTACTCCTACAACCCTTTGGGTATAGAAGTACCCCCTGTTCTTGGTTTCAAAAGCACTACCGCTCAGTTTTCAATTGTGCCCTGTGATCAATTGTGAAGAGATCTACTGGGTTGAGCTTGTCAGTGCCTTTGAGGATTTGAACAAGACTGAAAGGGTTCAGTTCTTTCAGCCTGTCAGTATAAGACATTCCTCTAAGTCCCAGAAAGCCATCTGGTTTCTCTTACCTGCACTACTCTAGATCAGAAATTGTCTGTTTTGTAATTGTACTTGAATCCCTTACAATAATACCAATTAATATAATGACCTTTAATTTTTCTACTGTATGGCAATATATTTTTAATTCTTCTACAGTATATTCCAAGATATAAAATGTGTGGCTTTTGCCTTTTTTTATCCTGTTCGCAACATTGACAGTAAGCAGCGAACCCCAGTTCACCTGAAATCGGGCAAAAAAGAAACTAAAATAAATTCACATGCTGAAAGGGCTTTTAATCATTTAATCTCCGACTACCTGCCAGAGTACCTTCTTAATTTTGCGGTTTGATACCCGAACAGAAAGTCTGAAGCCAAGGTATATAGGTTTTTTTTTAAGCTCTTATATAGCTGAGCACCTTGGAGTGTGGTCAGCAGTGTTAGTCGTGAGGCAAATTACAAAATTAGACCATCTATGTAACTAAGGGCCAAGGTGAAACCAGAAAACAGCAGACTGTGCAGAAATTGAGTTTGCGACTCCTAAAAAAAACTGGTCTAAACTTTGCTGTTTAATTTAACTCTTAATATAACCTTTGTTATAAAGCCGTAAGTCAGGCCTACTCTTTCCTCATTGTTTTCCACTTGATGTTTTGTTTGCATAATCAGAAACACACCAACCAATTTACCCTTCTTATTGCTGTGTTTAATATGGACTAATAATGTTAGAACTGTGCTTTCGTGAAAATATCCTAAACAATCAAACAAAAGTGAAATATTACATGAGTTTAAAGTAGCCTTTCCTTACTTAAATAATTCCGAATACTCCAGCAAATCACCCTCACTCTTGTCAGTTGTCTAGCTGTGGTGTTCAGTCTGTGACAATAATGGCCTACTGTAGTTTTATACACTCATAGCTCTTTATTCCTTACTAGTTTTGTCTATCTGGGGTAGCTGCTATACCACAGTAAACTGTGGCAAGTTATACTGTAGTATACATGTACAAGTTAATTGCACACGATTCTGCTTTTTCCATATTTATATTTTTTACCAGAAGCATTTGTGAAACCAATTTCTTTGAAAGACCTTACGAATTTAAATCGTTAATGCTGGAAGAATCGCTTATTCTTTCAAATGAAACGTATTAAGGCGAAGATAATCGTCTTGTATTAGGAGGTTGGTTGTAATTAAGAGTTTATTTAGTGGGTTGTAATTTGTAATTCAGGATTTTAGTTGTGAGGAGTTTTTAAAACGTAATCAAAATGGAAAACGAGTCGGGGGTTCCGATATGTTCTGAAACCACAGTACCGGTTCGTTTTTCTGTATCTGAGAAATAAATAATTGTTCTCCAAGAGTTTCCGCTTAAACAATCATATCGCGTGTATAGACACTAGTAAGAAACGTGAATGGAAGACGGAAGAGGAAAAGAATAGTAGTTGCTGTTTAATATGACGACTTAAAGTTTACTCAAGAGCAGTAAAACTGTCAGCTGCTCCTTGGATTAAGAAAGCTTTACAAGCATCTTTCGTGTCTGGCGAGAACATGCGCAATTTGTGTTGCAAGTTTAAGTATCATTACATATTACATTTCAAAAGAATTTTATCTTTCCTGTGATAAAAAAGCGATAGTTAAACATTTGCTTTAAAATGCTGGTGCGTTTCCAACGTATTTCAACATCAGGAAGCTTAAACATTTCACGCAGGTTAAGTACTGTACTGTATATGCGTCCGAGCTGTTCGAGCAGACCTCTTCATTGTTTCATAGATTTTGCCCCGATATATTGAAATAATTTATAATTACAGCGTAAAACGTTTTGCTGTTTAAATAAAACAATGCACTAGATTAAATCAGAAATAACTCAATGACATTCGTCAGCATCCAATACTTAATGTTTAATTTTCAGGTGGCATTTATTCGAGTAAGTCATTTGTTTATCAGATGCAATGCAAGGTATATTCAGCATGGAAGTACGCTTGCTTTAAATCGGGTGCGTTCACAGGATCCAACAGATTTACAAAGAGCCCCCCCCTATTAAAACGCTATTGCCCCACCAGCCATAATATTCCACCAGAAAAAGAGAGATGTACAGTACCTAGAATCTCATCAATCGGCTTTGCTTTCCTCGCACATTTTAATCCGACAGAAACCGTTCAAGCTGCAAAATGTTTTGAATGCAAATATCAACGTTCTACAAGAAAATGTAGTATAATAATTATACTCTATCTGTAAGTTAATAAAAACATTACAGGAGATCTGATTTTTTATAACATTTGAGAAAAAACGTTCTATTTGATGATAAAGTATTATATTGTAGCGCGGGCAATAAGTTCAAACTGTGCAACTGTGCCTTTATTGAGGTCACTTGGCAGTATAGTTAAGCATCGAGATGATTTCATTCACAAAGTAATGAAGCAAAAAGGTTCTGTAAGGAGACGAATGAATAGTAATCACCTTGATTTTAGTTTAGAGCATTTTTGTAATTAGAACAACGTACCTGACACTGAACACGTCTGTTATTACTACATTCTACTGCAAAACGTTGAAAATGTTTTTTATAGGAGGTGTTCACCAAGTTGAATATACTGGTACCGGGTGATACAAAGAAACATCTAGTTTTTTATCATTTATCACTATGTACGATATGACGTGTGAAGCTGAGCAAACTTAATGTTAAAGGTTTTCAAGAAATGTAAAGAAATCATAACAGTACTGTACTATTGGCCAATATTTATTGAATTTTAGATAAGATTGTAGATTAAAGGGTTAAAAAGAAAGTAAAAACTGAAAAGAATTATGGACCATTTAAAATAGTATATTTATTTTTTATATTTATCGGGGTTTTTTGTAGGATGCTAACGATCACATTGCTACCACAGTCCTTCTGGTACGAAATTGAATTCGGGAATACATTTATAACATCATTAAATTTTTGTTTTCCCAGATATGTGATGCTACACTTCATATCATTCTTCCCGGAATAGTAAAACATACTGTATCATAAAAGTTGAGTTGTTTCACGTTAACATATTTCTATCCTACAGATGAAAAGGCAAACAAAAGTCAGATTAGTCTTAGAACATTTTCACGCTATCTAATTGAAGGCCTTCCTTTGGTAATGGAAGCTTAATCATTAACTTTTGAGTTATTTTAGCAGTTTTATATCACTTGTGTTAAAGACGTGTCTGGCAGTGCATGGGTAGTCACTGTACCTCCTTCGAAATATCAAAAGTTGAGAACTCTTTTAAAAAGTCCATTATTTCCATACAGTATTAAATACAAAGATTGCCGCTAAAACAGATTTCTGACAATTGGAAAGAATTGATTCCTTAGTACTTTAACAGCACTTGTAACAAAGTAAGTGGATTATTACTCTGTAATCCCAGAAAAACTTGGAAAAGAAACGTGGTTTAAACGTTGGATATCAACATGTGAATTGAGTGAATATCCCTCTGGGCTTGTTTTATTCCCTTGCTCAAATCAGTGAATTCAACGGGGGGTGGCGACCTCTAAATAACTATTAATTTAGAATATATTCCAACACGAGGCTACAGATACTACCTGCCGTGCATGAGTGATACCAGTTTTTACGCCGTTCGTCATCGTCCATTTCAATCATGCAATCTGCATTTGCAGCACAGAGGCACTCAGACTTCCAGACTCCTGCTACAGTACATACTGTATAGTACTGTGCTCCCGTTTCTAGTGCAGTTCTTAGAAGATACGGGATTCCAATGATCTCCTACAGTCCGCTAAACCCACTAAAACCAATTAGGTAGAAACATTCCAAACAATGAGATAATAATAGATGTTATACATATACTTTATTAGACTGTGTCGAGCCGCGGACTGCACGGAGATTATTAAGGATGGACTCGTAGAAGTATTAGCTCGATGCGCTACAATCAATTACCCACAAGCCGAGATTAATTAGATCAATCGGAAATAGGATAAATTAGTGATGATGATAAGACGCAATTTTACTGAAACAAAAGAAATTGCATATTTTCTGCCAACACGTACCGAAAAAGGCAAAGCAAAAGAAATCCTGTTCAATCTACCGTGACAGTGCTAATACCTGCACAGTACTTATTTCTTTATCTGAAACTCTCCTTCAATTGCAAAATTATCTTTCTGTCATCTCTGACCTAATGTCCGGTTGTCTAGCTCTTGACAGTATTCGGAGAATTGTAGAGTATGATTTGTTATCAGAGTTCTAGTTCAGCCCTGCGACAAGACCAGGATTTCATTTCTAATGAATCGCTTTTTACCAGGGTGATGTGGCGCAGTGATTGTGCAGCAGCAACCTTTGTGACACAGTAATCAGTTATTGAAGTGAGAAGTTGCTTCACTAATTGTATAAGTGGCAAACTTCACATGGCCAAGACTGTGCAATACCCAGGTGGAAAAATTAGGATACCTGGCACTATAGGGTTAACATACCTATCCTTTCAAAAAGTGCGGTGTGACCTTGCTTAACTGCTGAGATCTGGAGAGAACAGGATACATCTCTAGGTTGGGTACACCAACTTTTCCCGGGAATTTCCCACTGTGAAAAAGACATTAATGTATAAACGGAGCTAGACGGTGAAGTTTAAAACCAATCTAATCTACATCTTTTTTTATCATTCATAGTAATGTGATATACCGTATGCTGTTGTAACACATGCGTATCTTTTATACTGTATCTTGTTAACACTAAAATTAATTGTATTACATATTTCCAATACAGTAATAGATTGCGGGGGGCAATATACTAATATACTGAGAGCCCCTAATTTAGCAGGTTATATGCGGTAAGTAACCGTTAATTCAGCAATGCGTTAAGAGCTGTACTGTAGGAATCAAGGATGTACTGTAGCAAGCTTGATCTTATGGAGTAACATTGGTTATATCACAGAGTTCTCCCACCTCTCTCCTAATGAGAGGAATATAGAGTTTTGTTGTTTTTGTCTGCTCACAAATTGTTCCTGTTCCCTATTTGTTTGGACAGAAAAAGGAACCACTTTAAAGGGTAGTAGTTTCCAATAAGGGTAGTTGCTTCCAAGAAACAACGTGAATAGTGTTTACTTAATGCATAAACCTTTGGAAAATCAACCCCCTAACAATGCCACTGGGGAGACATGAAACAACCTAAAGTTCTAAGCTTTATTCTAAAATGTAATGAAAACAGAGCCAAGCAGCCTAAGGTTATTGAAACTTAAGTGCATGTAAACATTACATACCCTCTGTGAACATTAAGTGACAAAAGGACAAAGGAAATGCGCTAGCAGAATATTTTTCCTTCACGGAAAAGGGAGTCTCTTATACTGTATGAGGTTACTGGTTAGCCGGTGACGTTACCGGAAAGAAAAACAAAAAGATTGTCAAATTCACAGCTCAGTTCTAGATCTAAATGGTAAAGCGCTGAAACCTGTCATTAATGAATAAAACCCATAAGTAAATTTATAAAATCCACGGAGTAATAAAATCAAATATTTTTTTTTCTTTGGATTAAAAAAACCCCGCTTCATTTAAAAATGTTTAATACCCTCTTTATGTTCATTCTCTCTCGGATCTGTTTTGTTTAAAATCTTTAAATAGCGGAATCTTTCGGTAAAATAAACGACAGCAGAACAAACAATAGCGTGTCGGTTACTTTACAAAGCTAAGTTCTATTCACTTTTTATTTAGAAAAATATAAAGACCGCAAAACCTGAACGCTGCATTTAAAACTCACACCTGAAGAATGCTCCACGGCCGAAACGTTGTGTTTTCTCTCCTTTTTTTCAGCATGGAATAAACCTATTACTTGTTCCTTTGCAGCCTACGCATGCTGACGCAGCTACCCACCTCAACAGAAAAACAAAAGGTCAACCGGACGCCTAAAGATGTATAACAGCTTACATTTTTGGAATTCCATGCAACAAAAACGCATTTTAAGAACTCAAAGACATAAATAGAACTGAAGAACTAAAGACATTATAGCAAAATGAACTACTTTATAGTCGGTGTAGTTAGTAGTAACATTAACCAGAGAGCTCCAGCATGGAGTTTCGCGATAATATACTGTACTGTAACCTCCACTGTAAATTAAAAATAATCTTTGTTAGGCTTTCTAAATATTGCGTGTGTTATAAATTCAACGGCTTGAACAAATTGGCAAATTCAGAAAGAATAACTGTTGGATACCAACAAGAGGTCGTGTCCAATGTAATGAGTGCCTTACGACCCTGCGGGGATACACGGAAAATAAAACAGTTGGACTAAAAAAAAGCAAAGAGGAAAAAACCATCACTGTTGTAAACATTAACAACTGTTTGAAAGCTCCAAGGTTTTTTTTTTTTAAAAAAAATAATCTACAGCTGAAATCCTTAAGTATGATCACTTACTGAATATTGAAATGCATCTGGTTTTGGTCATTTTTTGGGGTTGGGTTTGAAATGGGTTGGAAGAATGCTGGACACAGGGGCTGCTCTGTAATTCTATACTGTTATATAGGAATGCTCTGCTACGAACCTAAGTAGACAATTGTGTTAAAAGACGTTATCTTTAGCAAATAGGGAGGTAGGGGGATGTGCGTGATAAATTACGAAAATATTTAAGTTTATAGTTTAAAAATATTTCGAGAAATATACACCGAGCATCTCTGCGTGTTTCGCTCCCACACGCATGAAATAAAAACTTTATTTTTTTATTCCGAGACGGATTCTTGGCTGTCTTTTATCCAACAGGTGCACAGGTCCACCGTTTATCAATAATAATCATTGTGTACGTGTGTGACTGAAACAGTCGGACAAGAGAGTTCAATACAGTTTTAACGGATCAGTTTAAATAATTTCTGATAAACTAAACAAACACAGGTGTGTTTAAAACGAAGTGTTTTTCAAGATATCAGGCAATTAAACATAGAGCCTCTCTCGGGCCCACACTGAAAATGTGGGTATGATTACAAAATATAGATGAAACTGTTTCTGCATAAAGCTCACGAACATAACTGACCAAAACCTGATCTTGGACAGAAAGTCCTCAATAAGAGCTCGTTAAATATGCTCATTCCTCTACCGCATCTTTTAGAATCTTTTATAATTTCTTCGACACAAACATGTTTTGAATGGCAGAAAGAGCAGCCATTTTGTAGTGATCTCTCTGTGACTGAGCCGGGGGTGGTGGGGTGTGTTATGAACAGGTAACAGGACATCATAAACATTTTCAAATCACACATTTACTGACAGGCCCAAGTGTCACAAGTGGAGAGAGATTAAAAAAAATCCAACCTATTAATATGAAAACTGAAAAAGAACGATCTCGTTCATTTTATACGAGGGGAAGGAATACGCAGATATAATGTCGCGATACACAACAGAAATCTCAAAACATGAAACAAAACACTGCATTTCTCGAGACTTGTAAAGGCACATATTTAGTTTAATTTAATTAAAAATACGCCATTTAGCTTTGCTTAGTAAGTAATTACATTACAGGACAGAATATGTTTAAAAGATGGGTATTTGCGCTACTGAATACTGAAATGTAAACTCTTAATGCAAGATCTATTTAGAAACCACAGAACAGAACCACAGAAGCACATTTTTCCTTGCACGGGGAATCACTGCGATTGTTTGGGATATTGTAAGCAGACCTTGGGCCTTTCCGCAATCAGAGAAGTTCATCTTGCAACCAGAAAATAAGTCGTCCATCCGGCCAACAGGAGAGCTCCTAGCAACACTGTGTAACTGAAGAGCACAAACTTGAGAAGCTCCTTCAGCACCCAGAGGAAGCGCAGGGTGAAAGGCTGTCTCTCCAGCTGCAGCAGATCCATCCTCCTCTCGCTGGTCGGCTCGTCGAGCGGGCTGCTGTTCAGGACAAGAGCCCGTTAGGAACACTGCAGATGGCAGGACACCACGACCCGCTTTTCAACTGCGTCTTGTTGGATTTGCTTTGTTTTGTTTTTTTCTTCTTAACGAGAGTTCATTTTCATCACACCATTCAAAATCTTTTTTCCCTTCACGGCAGTTACTCTTTTTTTGCCCTTTTACCTACAAAAATCAAACTTAAATCTTTGCGACGTCACAAGCCCTCCCCGCCGCCAAATAAACTGCAATACAAAATCCATTCAGTAAGTCGTGGTGCTCTCAAGCACTCACTGTATGAATATTTAATACGTTAATTGCTCTTAATGTTCGTTTTTTATAGATCTTTCCATGGGCTATCAGCACTTTCATGTGTATCAATAAAAATGCTTTCCCTTAACACTGCAATGAATTCATAAAACTGCCGAGAACTACAGATTAGTCTTGGCTACCTGTTGAACCTCGGCACACACTAAATACTGAATGCTGGAGTCTAGTGTATGGACAATGTTTTGCAAGAATGTATGACGGAGAGGAAGGCGTGTTTCAGAAAACAGCTAATATGTTTTCGGAAAAAGCACAATTTAGCAGTTAATTTTGTACAGGCAACTGCGCTGCCGTGTTCAAAACCGGCGCAAGGTAACTGTCCATGGTTCTGAACCGCGCTTCCGGGAGTAGCCTGAGTAGTTTTAAACTGACTTTAATCCGAATGTGCGTTTTCCACCTTTCTTATCGAAAACACATTATTGGCTATTAAAAATTGCAACAGATGCTTTACGGTTGTATAAATTTCAAAATACAAATTTAGCAATCACTTGGAAGCGTATACGATCAAAACAGGTATATAACTTGAAGTGTTTTAGATTTTGTTTTCCTTAGGTTTTAAATATTGTATTAATCAAATACCAAATCCCACTTGGAGTTTATCAGGCATAATTCATTTTTAATTGTTTTCGAGTATTATGTGTTGTATCTGACCGTGAACATCATGCACAATATCCATGAAAAATCTTGTTCGAATAATCTAGACGATGTTTTTATTCAACGCAGAAATAAGCATACCGGTACCATCTTAAAATAATTCAGTTCACACCCCATTTAATTAATACAAAATTACCAATATATAGTTTTTTTATAATTAAACATTGTTTACCGAGTCGTAGCAAAAGAGTAAATAATATTGCAAACCATTACGTTCCTTTCCACTTCGTAAAAAAGCAAATCATTATTATATAATAATATAAAAACATAATATAAACATAAATAATGCACTCACTTTTGTTCCAGTACTGTGGTGTCCCTCTGAACGAGCGTCAGCAGCGAATATATCCCAATTGTTTTCTCTTCTTCTGAAGAGATTGTGGGCCATCGCCGTCAGAACAAGCGCTCAAGGCATAGGTGTGGCCACGGTCTATTAAATTGATGACCACAGCCTTAAACCCTCGGGTTTCTCTAATGGGAGCTCAAGGCTCTTCAGACACCTGCTCCTTCTACATGAAGTCTGGTTGTGTGATCCACCCGAGACATGGATTTAAGTACTAATCGCTGCACGTTCTAGCACGATGGAGAAAGTAAAAGGCAACAATACGACAGAAAAAAACAATAATTCACGTTGAATAACGAGGTTCAACTAAACTATTAAAAGGCTTTCCTTGCTGTTTTACTCCCTCGAAATACTACTGTCGGCGAACACCAGAATTAGCTCGGCAAACTACATCTTAAATATCTTAGTAGTCCTGTTTTGGTAGAAGGATATCGATTAAAACATTTTCAGGGGTTATTATTTTTATTTTTTTAATTCGTGACGAGTCAATTCTTCATCACTCTCGATTTCTCAGGACTAACAGCCCCAGTTAAAAACCTCTCCTACTACTGAGGGCGCAAACACGACAGGACGGGTGATTGAATTCTTTTTTTTTTTTTAATGAATCTACTAACGGACACAGAGGTGAGCTGGAGGGTGTGGTATCTGTTACTGTTCTGACATTATTACAGAAAACACGCTTGCAATCTGATACTACCGCTACAGTCCTTAACGTAACCAATCCTTAACCAGGCTGCGACCGCTTACTCTTTGTATTCGCTTACACACAACTTGTGCTATTTTTAACACGGTATGAAGTTTTCAGTCTCATAACCGAAACGTAATTTAGTTTTCTTTCAAACTTAGTTTCTCAGGGGCTGACGCCCGCTCTCCTCTCATATAAAACAGAAAGCCCAGACAGGAAAGAGATCGATCCATCCGAGAACAAACCCCAAGTCATCATTCACTAAAAACAAAGAGCAAAATGGCTTCTTAATTTAATCAGCGTCCTCCATCATCAAATCATTGCCTCATCCGCGGCAAGCCCTCCAGACAGGAGCAGGCCATTATCCGCTGATCAGGAAGCCTGTTAGCACTAATTGCTCCTCAAGAGAGCAAGGCCACTGAAGAAGGCCTGCACTCCTGTTTCCTGTGACCTGTCAATAGCTTTCCACAGCCTTGCGAGTGAACAAGCCTTCTCGGTGTTTAACATTTACTAGGCTATAGGCTGCATCTAGCATCACCTTAGGTAGTCTTTGAGTAGGTTTATAAACCCTGTAGCGCTGCAGGGCTGGCTAATTTAAGATTGTGCACGATGTCGTAAAATTACTATAAAGCGAATACAGATAATGTTCTCACGGGCATAACAGTTTCTTCAGGTTCAGCAGGTAGAAATTTTTCGTCATGTGTTCTGCCTGTGCATGGGTAATGAGACAGGGAACGGTTTTAAATTTCAGGTGTTTTCCGGACTACAGAAAACAACAGAGCTCAACACAGTTGGGGAGGGAGACAACAAACAAGTTGGACTTGATGTGCATTCTGGAAATCAAGCTGGACGACTTTAACAATGCAACCTCCATGACAATGTTTCCCCGTCACATGCTGCCTCCTGGTATGAACCAAATGAGAGGCAGTCATGGGAACAGGTACAGTATTTGCAACAGAACAGCCTTGTTTTCTTTCTGTAACACTGTTTACTACTTTGTTCGTTTACAGCCAACTTTAACAGAGACCACATAACTATGCAAAAAAGAAACTGATAAGAATGGACAGACATTCAAAAGGTACTGTAAGTGAGCAGACTGACTGGGTGCTTCAGTATCCTGCTGACAGGGCTCTGCACAAAGAAGCTGCTTTAATGCAATACTTGCCTCGGTATAGTCTCGAGCCTCAGCTCTGGCCTGCCGGGGCTGTTCCACAGCAGCCTGTGCCGCAGGAGGATTTCAGCGGCACACTTCAGCTCAAAGAGGAAATGAGGAACTGAGAAAGACGAATGAGTGAAATGCCCCCATTCTCTCTCTCAGAACCGGCAGTTTCCCGTGAACTGTGCTGTGCCTGCCTGACCCTTGTAGATGCTCTGAAACATACTGTACAATGCAGTGCAAAATCCAGGCAAACATGTAACGCTGCTTATATACTGTATACACACAGGGGAGATACAACATAAGCCTCCACTGTTTAATCTAGCAGACACACAAGCCGCAAAGCACTCTGTACAGCCCCACGGTTGCTCCTCAAGAGCTCCTCTGAAACGCGCGCTCATTTTATGTTCCACACCTCGGGGGCGATCAAGTCCGCATCCACCCCCCCCCCCCCCCCCCAAACCAACCGAGCGCATTCAGCATCAATGGGGCTCGATTTGCATGTCGCGGCGGTCAGAGGCCCTTTTCACGCAGACGACGTACTTAACACGCAACAGTGCAGATACGGAAAGGGCAGGGTTGTCTCTGAACCATTTTTACCCACCCCCCCCCCCCCACCCCCAGATCCAACCAGTCCGGTGGTTTCAGAAAGGGGGCGCTTCCAGTTTGTCCATGAGCGACTTGATCCAGCTGGTGCCGTTGATGAGCTTGGTGGTGGCGATGACGTACTCCGTGCCCCCCTCTTCCATCTGCGACAGGAACCTCAGGGCGGCGATCTCGGCGTAGGTCACCCCTCCCAGGAAGAAGACCAGCGTGGTCCTGTTCTCCCCCTGCTGGCCTGCGAACAGAACCCCAGAGACCCACACTCAGAGCTGGTCCGTGTCCCATTTTGCCTCTTTCCCTACTGGTTGTGCGTCTTGAGGGCAAAGATGTGAACAGGAGGTGAGAGACGCGGATCTATTTATTTAGTCTGCGCCAGCAGGGAGCTGCTCCCTTACAGCAAGGTGCAGTAAGAAGCAAAGCCAGGGGCTTGACCATAACTCGGAAGAATACGGTATAATTCACCTTTTAACCCTGATTTCTAGATTTCCTAAAGTGATTATAACAAGTCTTGGTTTAAGTTTATTGTCTTACGTTTATAAAATCTAGGGATATTATGTCAGAAATTATTAAGTTATTAACTTAATCGACCCTACATTTCCTGCATCTTCATTTCCTAAAGCTATTAGATATTTAACATTTGACAAAAGTACATTGCATCTACAGGTTTAAAAGAAATGCAATGCACAACACCACAAAACATTTTTTGTATTTGTTTAATATTTATAAAATATATGAATCACGGCAATTATAATTACGTGAAATCGGTCACATTATTGTGTCACTTTCTGTCGATACGTTAACCTGTCGCTGTACAAATCGGTAAAAACAGCCCACGAAAATGTCTCTCAGCTCGGTAAATGAACACATCTTCAAACTGTTGGACAAGCTTGGCGTGAGAGCTTTCAGCCACATGACGACAAAGTAATGTTCTGGCAGCGTGTACTTCTACCCCAGGCAAGAGTGGACTCGTGCCATAAATGCCAACTGAACAGGATAGAGAAGGCAGCCCGCAAAGGTACTGGCACACAACAGCTACAGCTGGCAGGTATCATATACTGCTGAAGGTCAATTCGATTACTCACCGTCATGCCTACCCCTTGCAACATAAATCTGAGCTCCTTTCATCAGGGCACCAATTTAGTTTATTTTTACTTTCAGTGCTATAAAACTAGATTATCCTTTAAATATAGTACAAGTGTGCACAGGTAACTGATCGATTGCTCAATTTTCCTCTCGCCATATGGATATTACATTCACTGACGACTCAGCTTTACTTGTCTATTACTGAGAGGATTGTTTAAAGCTTATGCATGCATGTGTTCTGGTTGTTGACGGACTCATGCCGTGTAGGATTCACTGCGTACCGTGCAGGTCCGGGTATGTGCCCGCAATGCGGATCTGCCGCCTGGGCTAGTGGCCGGGGGGTGACTTACGCTTCTTGTGGAGCCCGGAGGGGAGCTGCTGCCTCTCCTCGAAGTGGGGCCCCGGCAGCATCTTCAGCACCTCCTCGATGCTGCGCCAGCCGGGCCGGGCCAGCAGCTGCGCCAGGCGCACGCTCAGGGGGGCGAAGCCGCTGTACACGTAGGAGATGTCATTGGGGTTCTGCAACAAGAGGAGACCTGCTGCTTGACTTCCAGGGTCATGACCTTGCAGCTACCATCAACTATCCAAAATCTGGTGTCTATTAGCTTCATGCATGCTGGGAAATGTATTGATTATTTCCTACGTACCCCTTCTCCCGCACTGCAGCGATGTCCTAATTTGATCACTATAAAGCATTTTGAGAGGATGCTCAGCACAAAAAGTCAGATACCATCATTGCTTCTGATGCTATTTGTTTTGAGCATATAGTCCATTGAGAGGGATGTTTGTTTTAAGTTATAAAAGGGTTGGGAGGAGGCAAGACAGAAAATGATGTGATAACTTGGGAGTAAAATTCCCAAGATCAGTTTCTTGGGAGTAAAGTTCAGCCTATGCGGAATTCCATCCCTAATGTATTTTGTGCTACATTACACTGACTACAATTCTTCTGGAAAAATAATTGTAGAAAAATCAAATAACTGTCCTTCGGGAAGTCAAAACTTGATTTATGTAAACCATTTAGCAATTCCATTGTGTTGTTCCATTGTTTGGGAACATAAAGGAGCACACTTGCTGATTTCAATATTAATAAGACCGGTCATCAACCCGCTGTTCCCACGAACACACACCTGCTCATTCACATCCTCCATCCACAGCTTGAGGGTCTTTCTGATGGTGGGATAGTTGTTCCTGGTGCCGATCTGAGGCTTCAGCAGGCCAGTCTTTTCCAGGTTACTGAGGGTCAGTATGTGCTCATAACCGTAAGTCTGGGAGAGAAAGAGTGTTAGGACAACCTACTATCATGGAAGACATTTCATACTTTGTTATACATCACTCTGGATTTCTTAAGCACAAACAGCAAGGTAAGAAAGAGGAGAGATCTTAATCTCCACCCAGAAAACAGGTGAAACAAGCATTTAGACAATGAAAACTGTAGACCTTTCTTCACACAAAGGGTTGTGGGTGTCTAGAACAAGCTATTTAACTAGCCTGCTCAATCAGATACCTTGAGAAATTTCAAGAAATGGCTGGATTAAGTCTTCAAATCAATAAGCTGGCAACAGCCAATCAGGCCTCGTCTCGTTTGTGAACTCACAGTTGCATTAACAGTATAGCATTTAAATGAAGACGTTTCTCTTAACTGCTAAGAGTTCTAGGATAACTCAGATTTGCACAGCAATCTGAAGGAGCCATACCTGCAGGATTTCCCGTTTATAGTGGTCCAGGACTTTCTGCTTCAGTCCATTGTTACACACAGACTGCATGCACACCAGCCGCAAGATCTTTATCAGAGGGTCCTTCTGGGCAATGCAGTCCTCGATGTAGGAATTCACCTGGACGACAGGGGCATATTCCTGATTTATTGCCAGCAACAGGCAGCAGTGTACAGTACTGGCTAGGGTTCTGGATTGTTAGTGGGAAGGTTGTGGGTTCAGATCCCAGGCGGGGGCATTGCTACTGCACCTCTGAGCTGGGCACCTCATTTAGATTACACAACTAAAACCGGACAAATCTGAGCCTTCTCAAAAGCAACAAACAACAAATAATACATTTCTAATCATGAAAGACGGAGTGACAGTGTGTTCAGTCGTTAAGATGGAGTACAGGCTGCTTTGTTGTTGTCTTTTTGGCTGGAGGACCGAATTGTGGTTATCGCCAGGTGTGACACATGAGAAATTCCACCGGTGTGTCAATACCTTATCTGTGTCCACTCCTGTCATGAACTCCTGTTCAACAGTCAGGTTATCAAAAAAGGCTTCTGAGGCTGAAACATAAAAGAATGATTTAATTAGAAATAATATTAAACTAAAAAAAAAAAAAATCAAGCCGATACAAACAGCAAAGAGATACAATTTAAATAACACATAGCCCCCAGTGACTTTAAAACAACAATAGATCGCGCAAACACTTCATCTTAGAACCAGTACCACATCACGCTTCAAGGAGCAGAATTTTTTTTAAATACTTGCATAACGGCACAGTAGAAGACTGTAAAAAAAAAACAGAAAATAAAAAATGAGAAAAGGCTTTTCATACTTGTGATATCTTTGATGAGCTCAGCAATAGAGGTGTGATTTGCTAAAGAGCTCCTGGCAGCCTGCATGTGTGGCAGCTGTGATACAAACTGCTTGATCTCCCCCACGGTTTTGGCATTGTGTCTCTCCTGGAAAAGACAACAGACAACGTGAAGGATCTGTAAAGCCATTATCTCAAAACGCAAAGAGAAGCAGTGCATGCAAATTTAAATTAAGAACAAAAACATTCTTTAAAGTTTGCCCTCAAACAATACTACCACACTAGAAAAAATAGTTTTGCTTTTGACAAGTCTGGGCATGGGACTGATAATGAGGCCATTAACTAACTTGTACATCTGTGCCAGGCTATGTGTGAGCCCAATTTTCGTTTTATTAGCACATACTGCAGCCATCAACACATCTATTGCATTTTAATTATCGTATCTGATTCTCTGTGCTCCTAAAACAGATGAATAACAAAGGTCAGATAAAAAAGCACTACGATCAGCCTTATATTACTCAGCATGTTCCGTCCTATAATCACATGGCTGTCAGACAGTCAAAACAAGTAACATAACTCAATTCAATTATTTTAATTGCACATGGATTTTGCACAATATGGACACAAGGAAATAAAATCCTAAGTATTCTTTAAATTTATTCTGGATAATGAACATATCCACTAGTGGTCTGTAGTGCTTTTCAATTCTGAAGAGCTTGTGTAGTTTTTAAGACAGTACTATACAAAGCACTGGAAAAAAACATGATACTATTCATTATTAGTCAGCACAAACTTGTTGGCAACTGTTGTTGTACATTGTATACATGTTGCAGTTTAACTTTAAGAGATAGTAATGGACACCCTTTCCATACAGAATTACTGTATACACACTTAAATACTGACATTAAATTAACCCTTACTAGTTCTCTGATTTTTTGTACTGGATCTACTGGCTAAAGATGTCAGCACACAAATGAGTTCCTGCCCTGGAATACTACAGGGAGAAGCCGTGTTCACAAGCTCCAGGGATTCACCTCGAAAGCAGCAGAGATAATTTTAGCCTTCTTGCTTAGCACAGCTCCCACTGCATTGAAATTCTTGTCCCTGATCTCGGCATACAGCTCCTCAGCAGAATTCAGCTGTAGCTTCTTGGGCTCTGTGGGCAGGTCCTTTCCACCCTCACCCTGCTTCTTCTGAGAGAATTTCTCTGGAGGAAGCTTCACATAGCCTGCAGACAGAACACTTCAGTTATACAGGAGGTACAGCGTAGCTATTATACCATTAGTATACAATCATAAATGGAAGGTTACGTATGGAAATATAATTAGTAAAAACACAACAAACAGCCGACCATCCACACAAAAAGGTCTAATTTCATAGAATAAAATGATGACATCTTTGTAGTCCAGTGAAAGTGAATCTCTGTGAATATGGGGCACTGAGAATCAGTACTCCGGTTTCTCAGTTCAGATTTTGTTTTTCTTAACTAAGTGCTTTGTTTGGTCATTATTTTCCTGAAAGTTTCACAGCCACCTTCCAGCCCGGAATGGCTAAAAGCTGTTACAATCTCGATACACGCAGATTCCGCCTTCGCAGAAAACCTTAGCCAGCCCCTAGCTTTCAAGTGAACAAGAAGTAATAGTTATTTAGCATTAGTCCTCTAGCAATCTCCCACGCGTGAACACAAGTTCAAATGCATTCCCCTCCGCACTGACAAGATGCTAAAAAAATCCAGGGTGCTTGAGCCCGCACGACCCAGGGAGCTGGAGTTGGTGGCGATGGCTCACAGGCTCACACTCACCATTGGTGATGCCGTAGATTTCATCGATGAGGCCTTCGTAGGTGAGCTGTGTGGCCAGGGGCGTGAGAAGGTCCACGTTGCGGTCCAGGAGGAGCAGGGTGTCGAACACGGGCAGGATCTGATTCTGACTGCCGGCAAACTCCCTCTTCATCCTCAGCATCATGTTGGCCACGTGCTGGAAAACAGTCAGCCTCCGCTTCAGAGCGAATTCACGGACCGCGGCGCGTTAACGTGACCGGCGCGCCGGTTCGGAGGCAGTAGGTAGCGGTGGAAGCGAAGGAGACGAACGTGGGGAAAGAAGATTTTAGGAGGTGATGAAATGTTGAAGAGAAATCAAACTTTCAAAAGGACCTTTTCAGCATTTGTTACAATCTATGTGACAACGATAGAACCTTGCACTTGTATAACGCTTTTCATCCCATGGGAACTGAAAGTATCTTACATTTACAAATAGATGGAGAGCAACTTCTCCCACCTCTGACGTGCAGCCCCACCTGGACGACAGCTATTCTGGGCCTAAGCTCCACTACACAGCAGGACAGGCGAGGAAGAGAGAACTGAATTAAGGGGGAACTTTTACTAGGCCAGACCGTTCAAGCTCAGAGTGAAAATTAGCCAGCAATACTGGGGGATAACAACCTTTGTCTTTCCCAGTGGTCTTAAATGGTCCCTCTGATAAATGGTGAAATATTACCATGAACACGTAGGAACTCAGTTTTAGCATCTCATCCAAGGGACGGCACCTTCCCTGCTCACTTACCAGGGCGTGATGTCCAAGAGCTCCACCTACTGGCTGACCAACACCACTTACAGCAGGGGCCTGGCTTTTCCTACAGAACTCCCACCCAGCCCTGATCAAGCCCAGCTTTGCTTGACTGAAGAAGGATGAGATGAGGTAACGGGGTGCTAACATTGCGGTCAAGCTATCTGTCTTGACTACAAAGGTAATACAATTTTGCAGGCGAGAACAAAGTTTGAAAATATGCAAACACGTGACAAGTGTATTTTTATTAGCTACTTAGCAGTTGACCATGCTCTTGGATAACATTCTAGAAACGCTTTACAGTAAATTGATCATCAATGGGATATCTATCAAGACCCTGTTTATCAAGCTTAATCTAAAGTGCTAATGCATTCAGAGTAAGATTGAATTTTAGACAGATGCTTCTGCTTTAGATGTCTAGCCGAGATGCTGAAAACACGCCACACGTTTCAGTGATTTCAGCAGAGCGAGCTCAATGTGACCTGACCAGCCCCCACAGTCCCATACCCGTGCAGACTCGCCCTTCCCGAAGATCTGAGGGATGGTTCCATAGAGGGCCTGCAGAGTCATCAGCCCCTTAGCTGTATGGTAAAGGCTGGTCTGGTCATTCTCCAGGTAACATTCCTGTTAATCGCGAAGAACAGACACTATCAAAGCCTGCCTCAAAAGCTACACATGTACACCAGATGTTGGGCTTTACTGTGTTTTAAATCCAGAGTTAAACTGTCCTTGCTTGTTTAGTGTTGTTGATATTGGGAAAAAAAGTGTTTGCCGAGACAGAAAGACTGTAAACGTGTTGCTGGATATATCATTTGTGCAGACTTCGTAAAGCCCTACTAATCATGTGCAAAAAGCTTCTTGACCCAAGTACTTCTCAAGTCTACATTTCAGAATTATCTGAATGTTTGAATCCTTCAGTAACAGATCCCATCACACTTCTAAAATATGTACAAAGTCTATACTCAGATCTTAAAAAATACATTCTGGTGTTCTGTTAACAATGTGCATGATAGGCATCTCAGTTCTCAATGTCTGATGTTGTTGGACTAATTACAATACAACCCATTAGCACTGGAGACAATAGTACTTGCTGCATCGCTGTTGTCACCGAGTAAAAGTGCCAAACAAGCCAGCGCCAGAGGAACAGCACTGAGGTCGAAGAGAAGAAATGTGGGCGAATTCTGTCACAGGAGAAAGGAGGCAGGGCTGTGGAGATCTCAAACGCCAGCGGTGGAAGAGGACTTTACCCGGAAGGCGCTCTCGGACTCCATGGAGAGCAGGTCGCCGTCGTAGGGGATGAGGTCCAGGATGTACTCGTCGATGTTGATGAAGGAGGCCAGCACTCCCCTCTCCTTCAGCCGCTGCTCGCACAGGAGGCTGCGCCGCGGCACGAACAGGATGTGGAGGTCCCGCGGGGAGCGCTGCCTGTCCTCACTGCGGGCGGCGGGGGAGAGAAACCACACACAGTGAGGCGGGCCGCCCTCTTCGCCTGCACCTCGGTCACCACGACGACAGGCAGTGCCGGCCTTGTGCTCTTCAGAGTCCCGGTTAATGCTGATGGCACTGTCTTCTTTTCCAATACAGCCAGTTACTGCTGCTTCTAGGTTTAGCCCTCATGCCTACTACCTTCTTCAGTTAAAGACAAAGCAACTCTTCGACAGCTACGACAGGAAAGGAAGCCATATTCCCCAAACAAGCAACATTTCAGACCAGGTTTCATGGCTCTGTTTAACACACACTCCCTTTTTTAGATGCACAAATAAGCTTTCTGTAAATGCATGAATTTCAATGCTCTGTGCCAAGTCTGCTCTCTCCAGTTAGTCAACTTCAAGTCATTTAGTTTTGAAGCTTTTTGATTACCTTTTGGTACACTAACAGTGCTATTTGAGCTGGCCTAGGTGAATGGGTAACACCTCGTCTACGGTATTTTTTGTAAATGTTTTAGGAGTTAAAACATATTCGTAGAGTACTAATATAATGATATTAATGCAATGATAAATTCATCCATTCATTTTCAATGGCCTTAGTCCAAAGCAGGGATGCGTTGAGTCAGAACCTAACCCAGAAGACAATGGGACACAAGGCAGGATGCGCTCACTCACAAAGACATACTGGAGACGATTAACCTTGACAGTATATCGCTGGGGTGTGGCAGAAAACCACAGCGCCAGCTGGAAACCCATCGGGCCATGGGAACATGCAAACTCCACAAAGAAAGTGTCCCAAGAACTGTACCCAGGACCTGCGAGGCAGCAGTGCCAACAGCCAGGCTACTGTGCCTGTGCCCTGTCACACTGTGATTAACATGCACACGCTGCTTATAGACAGCTCTGGCGAAGAGCAAGACTAACGGACGAGCAATGAAGGCACAGCTGCCACAGGTGTAAGCTAACACTTGCTTTTCATTAGATTAAATTATACCTGTCCACACAGGCAAGGTAACAGACCTGACCACATTCTCAGCAATGATGTCCATTAATTCCAGTCTGGGCCTGACAAAGAAGATGATATTTTTGACATCGGCGACGGGGAGGCGCCCCGGCTTGAGAGTGAACATCTTCTCCACCTCATGTTCCTGAAAAGCACAAAAGGACACGGTACTAGGACACACACACACACACAGCACCCACGAGAATAGCAGCATGTAATAAGCCAGACTCCTTTATTCAAGACACTTAACAAGGGTCAAAGCATGGAAAGCAAGACACACACACTAGAAACACAACCACGCTTGCCCAATATCTTCCAGGTTTCTAGAATTAATCAAAGGAGACAACATTAATACATTTATAAAGGAACAGGTAAAGGTTTATTTCATGCTGAAAGGAAAGGAAAGGAAAAAAAGACACAATGTTTTGCTGTGGAGCCCTCTTCAGGGGTGTCATGAACACTCACACTTGCACAAGGCTTCAGCAACTACCCACTTGAAATTATGGTTGTATGGCAGCGACACGTACCAAGAAACTTAAATTAGATAGCAGAAACGTTCCTGAAACAAGGGAAAAAAAGCGGATCTACCTTTAACAGGGAATACTGTGCAATTAACCCGAAGGGTCCCGTCAGGTACTCGTCCCAGACAATTGCCTGCACAAAAAGAAACGTGCAGGGAGACCATAAAACAGGAATCAAGTCCCGAGATCGAAGTCATGGCGTTATTTTAAAACGAATTATAGGTACGATGGAAACTTTTTGCAACACTGCATCAGGGTAAATCCGTTGCTGGACCCAAATTGTTATTTAGCTGACAAGGATGAAGTCGAACAGCACGGTTCTTGAAGTTCATGAAGATGGCAAAACACTTACTGCATACCGTAGAGCATCTAATAAATACTTAATAATAAAAAATTGCCACTGAGAGGAATCATTTTTTATATAACCAAATTCTGCATGCCAAACCTTGGAAGAAAGGGAACGATCTAAGCAGTGCATTATTTTAGAGCATTTGTTTCTCTACTCACTCGGGAAGCTAATTCCTGGTGCTTCCCGTTTATGGACAAAACACCGAACAGTGCAGACAGTTTGAATGCTGCCGTCGGTATCAACGGATTACCTTGCTTCCAGCGCACTTATCCAGAAACTCGCGCAGCTCCTTCCTCGCAGCCTCTCTCAGTATGTTGAGATTGACTCTTCCGTAAGACAAGTGCGACGCCATCTTCGCCTCTGTCTGACAGCGGGTCATGTGACGGGAGGAATGCAGGGAGGTGTCATGTGACGAGCGAAAACACTCACGCGGCGTTCTTTATTAATTTATTAGGCTGTTCCTTATTTTTGCAGACTACGGGAATTGCATTAGCAGAAGAAATTCCAACTGTACACTCGACGTTTCTGTGCTTTTTTTCTTTTTAGTGATTTACAAGTATCATACCACAAATGTGTTTTAAAGGCATCCTTTCGCCAGAAAAAAATGAGGTTGTAACATCCTATTATCCCACAGGGAGACACTGTTCTCAAACTGTAACGATTAACGATCACATATTAAGATTAAGCGCTGCATCTTAATATGTGTTTTTCAAATAATTGTTGACCTATCCTTTGGGTGGCGGTGGATACGTATGTAAACTCAAGATTTTCTATTATTTTAGCATCTCTCTCGAGAATGTAACATTTCAAAGCTGTTAAATGCCATGATGTGTTCCACACAGGAGATCGTTAGTGCGTTACAGTACCTGTATGCGATTTTCAAAATTTACAAGTAAGAGAGCTGAGAGCACAAACAACCACTGCAGGAGGTCTGGTAGCAGGGGAAAAACATATTTTATGTTGTCTATTTTGACCAATTTGCTGGTATTTGTGTTGTTGAAATTAACCCGGATCGAGTTAATGATTTATTGATAAGCCTTAGGTATCATTTATGACAAGTTTTTAATTCCTGGACCTGGGAAGCTGTTGGACACCCTGGTTTCCCCTTTTAACCTGGACAGTAAACAGAAGGTTTTTGAGGACAAAAGTGACAACCGCTTGGAAGTAAATTTGAAACCAAGAACGGGAGGTGCTTCTGTACACATAGGGTGGTAGGAGTGTGGAACAAGCTACCCAGGCATGCGGTTACCCTTGGTATTTCAAAAGCTGCAGGATGAGATCCCTGGATAAATTAAATACCTTCAGGCAAACCCATTAGATGGGTTGAAGGGCATCTTCCCATCTGTAACCTGCTGTATGTATTGATGGCAAGACCTGATTTTGTTTGATAGCATTTTTCAACCATCACAAAGTCATCAAAAATTGATCGGGCCATTTCCATCTTCTTAAGCAAAGCTTAAGAAAAGCTTTCTGTAAATAAAATATGAGCTGTGCAAACAGACTTTCTCTAGTGAAGCAGAAGTAAACAGCCAGGTAAAAAAAAAAGTCTTCAAGGGGAAAGGAAAAAAATTGCTGGATCTTTTTATTTCTTAATAAAAATTGGTATTTCTGTCTCTGACTGTATACAAGGGCCATCACCAAGATCTATGTTAAAACAGACAAAAGAAACTTAAAAAATGGATTTTAGCAAACACTGAGCTTTTCCGTTCTGATCAGTCCTGGAGGGTTGACGCATTGTTCCTAAACATTAACTACCACCTTCTAAAATGTTATTTATATTAGGCAGCCAGGTAAAGACTAAAAAAACTACAGGTAATTTATCTTCTTTACCAGTATTTCTACCAATGTCTTGCATTTTACCTTGTGATCACTTGAAGAATCCTTGGGAGTTAAGGTAAAATTAAATGGGTGCATTTGCGATCACCAAAATTAACAAAAGCTTAAAAAATAGGTGAGAGGGAAGGCAAATGTTTCACTTCAGAAAGGGGTCTCTTCATCCCTTTAAACCTTATCACAGAGTCCTAAAAGCTCCAAAAGATTTTTCTAGCCATTGGGCTCACAGGGTTTCGAATGTATGAAAGTGAAATGAATCAGAAATGTACAAAATAATAACCAGAAGTGGTCGATTTCACTCTGAAAAGCATGTTTCAACAGCTGCGCCTTGTTGAACCCCACTTGGACTTCAAAACAAAGACTGACTCCAGCCCACTGTTAAAGATTATAACCATTTATTAAAGTAGATACAGCCCACTCTGTGATTAGGGTAATACTGTCTTTACATGTGCCTTTCTCCCTGCAATAGTTATATTACTATACATTCAATAATGAACCCCAGCTTTGTAACAGGGAAAAATATTCTTCATATTCCTTGTGTCATGTAGCGTACACTTTTTCAGAAAAATACAACCGGTATTTACAATTATATAGGTCAAGCTTTCTTTTCCACATATATTTTACAGTTATAATGGAAGATACAATATGATCCACAAGTCTTTGTTTATTCTATGTTTTTTTTTTATACAGATGCCAAACATACAGATTTCCCCAAACAAAAAGACAAGGCGATACATTAAATAATTTGACAGTAAATCTATTCTTTCTTGATATTTAAAAATGCCTTGATAATTTAAACACGATTATGTGACGGCGATTAAAAGGAGCCAAGGACTTAAAACGGGAAGAGAAGCTGTAGTATAAAGTGTGCAGTGCAATAGTTTATTACAACCGGACTTCACCTCCTTAATGGTAACTGATCAGGAGTCGTTTCCTCACTCCTGTAATTTTGTACTGCATGTCGCTGAAGTCACTGCTGGACGTTACACAGCCAGAGCAGCAACGTGCATCGTTACAATTCCACTTTCCCAGCCCAGTTTTGTAGGACACGCCTTCAAGTACTGTTGTTTCCGTAAATGTTTGAAGGAAAAAAAAAACATTTTCAGCAACATCGAGCTCAAACGCTCACAAGCCATAACGAAACTCAACCCAAAAAACAAAAACAAAATGGAATTATTATAGGACAGTGCCAATTGTTTCAAAAAAAAGAAAAACTCGAAGGTTTGTTCGGTTTTAATTGTTGTTTTCTTTCCGAATTGAAGGAGCTGGAGTTGGGGGAGAGAGGGGAGGGGGCTTCTCTTCAAGGCCAGGCTAGCAGGGTGGTATCTTTCTCATGGGCCCGGCGTGGCTGTAAAGGGGGAGAGAACGGACCCCGCGAGCGGGCAGGGGGAGCTGTGTGCAACACGCGCGCAGGTCCACGCACCCCAGCGCTTATCCGGGCTCTCGCACGGGAGGAAGGACGAGAGGCCGGAGGGCCACGGCGGGGGGTCAGAAGGTCTCGTCGTCGTTGCAGTTGCTGGTCCAGTGGCCGAACACCTCGCACAGGCCGCAGTAGGGCCGCTCGTCCGTGCGGCTGCCGTGGTAGGCGGTGTGAGGCGGCGAGTCGGGCAGCTGGGCCTGCGTGGGGCAGTCCTCGGTGTCGTGCAGGTCGAAGCAGTCGCAGATGTCGCAGAAGAGGCGAGGGGCCGGCTTCTTCTTCGACTGGCTTTCTTTCAGACTAGAAATAATAATAAGAAGAATAATAATTGCTTACACTTATAAAGCACTTTTTCTGGACACTCCACTCAAAGCGCTTTACAGGTAATGGGGACTCCCCTCCACCACCACCAATGTGCAGCCCCACCTGGAGGATGATGTGATGAAATAGACAAACACAGGGGCCGGGGGGGGGGTGGAAAAAAAAGTCACCGCAGGGAAATCAGAAGGGAGTCCTGTAAACTCCACCGTTCCGATACGGAATTGTAAATTCCGGAGTTGAATGTGATGATGAGGAAGCTGGTCGCCCGTTTCTAACTTCACTTCGAAAATCAAGTTACAGGGGGACTCCAGAAGAATGAAGTTAACAATCTGCACGGTTTAATGAAGCCTGTCCTTTTATTAAAAAAGTGCAGATTATTTTTTGTCTCGCTAGGAATTAGATCCCGTAGATTCTTCCTTTTGCTTTGGGAAGAATACAAAAGGGATTGAAAGTCTTGATACGTCTTTAATAGCTACTTAAGTTTCAGCTGTTAATTTATTCTATCACTAAACTAATCAATCTATTTTATTGCATTGTCCCTCTTCTGCCCTCTACCTTTATAATGAACACTCAACTCCTCCCAGTTGATAATTGTAGTCATTCATTCTTCCCCTGCAGTTGGTGTCAGAGGTTTCCTAATCTATTTGATTACCAGTGAAAACAGACTTCTACTGGAACAACAACACAACCCTGCACACACTTAATCATTTCCAACCCCTCACTCCGGAGACAGAAACATTAGACAACAGTTCCCCTGTCCGAGCAGTAATATCTTGCTTTCCTACACCTGAATAAAACACGCAGATAAAGAGGGACACAGTTGCCACATACCTGTCGTAGTTGTCCAGCTCGCTGGGATTATTCCCATTGAGTGCTGCCTCAGCCATTTTCTCCAGTTTGGCCTTTAGTTCTTCATTCTTCTTCTGAAGATCAATGATTACAGAATTGAGGAAATCAATCTGACCCAACAGAAGAGAAAAACCTCCATGTTACTATCAGACAAACAAGCAGAGTAAAAAAAAAGCATTATGGGAAATTTAATTCTTCCTAATACGACGCCCAAAACGTGCAAATATCACAACCACTGTTATTAAAAATATATTTTGGTAGTTGTACACTCTCAAAAACTCTCTTCCTGTCTTAGGAAGTTCAAGACCTTCCCACAAACTAGACTACCAAACCACAGACCCTTTTATTACATTGTGTGGGTAAATTCACCCACCAATACCATCATCAAATCCAGCACACCCAGTTGACTAACCACACTCAGTAGTGACCCCCCTAACCACTAGACACCCAGACGTCAATAAGAAAAATAGAAATTCCTCTGGGTTATGTGATGACAAAGAACCTTAGCATGAGGTGTTTATTTGTTGGACAGAATGACATCTTCAGCTAACTTGTTTTCTGTCGGAAGAAACCTAGTAGGAATTAGATTATACCCTCCATTTTTAGGAATGGTAGCAGATGCGTCGACTAAGCGCATTAAATCGCGCAACAGCACCGAGTTAAAAACTGATTGTGAGTACTGATCAGTGATATTTCGAAAGAGCTGTGCTGCAAGGCACTGTGTGTCAGAGCAGGAAAAAAAAAAGATACAAATGAGAAGCCACTTGCAAGACAGACCAGTAATTGGCATGAAATGCAGAATACACACTCATGCAAGGACCTAAGTCAATTAGCACAGAAAGAAGAAATTCTAATGTGGCAGAAAACCAATAAGTCGAAGGAAACGAAAACCAGCATGCTGGAACAGACAAGATGAGAGACAGTAACAAACCATGTCCTGATTGAAGGGAAGGATTGCCAACATCAGGGATAAGGGAGAAAGGGAAACAAAACAGAGGTTAAATTCAGGGAGTGGGATACCAAGGAGAAACGTGCTACACTTTTACACTGCACGCTACAGAACATGAAAGCCCTCTGTGTCAGAAAGGGACCACAAGATATGTTTTTATGCGCTGCAGCCACTTGGGACACCGAGATTTAAGGTATTTCTTTTCAGAGACTGAAAGAGCAAGTTTTTGTGCGTGTGTGCGCGCGCATTAAACATAACACCCTTCTCAAATTTTAATCACACAAAATGATACATTTTTATGGCCACAATGAAGGACTACCAAGAGAAAAGCAAGTTGCATTCTTCAGCCACTTGAAGGCCAGAGAATTAAGCTACTGGACCTGAAGAATAGTTTTCAAACTGACGCTGCTGTAAGTCTAAGACAAGCGTTTTCAACAGCCTTTCCAATTTGAATCTTCACTCTTCCAGTAAAAATAAACAGACAAAGGGCTTCAGAATACTAATAATGAAACTGCAAAGATTCACCGGTACCCCTTCTTACCTGGCTCTCCGCCGACTCCTTCTCTTCTCTGAGCTGCTCAAGTGCAGCATCACCTGAGAACGACAGGGAACACAGCAATAATGACACATCCTCACCTCCACGCCGTTTCACTTCCCAGACTTTTCACTTAATATCTCTATAGGGTAAATCTCAGTCAGAACTGACCAGTCAATGCTGTCCTTGCAGCGGTAATTATTTCAATCTCACAGTTAAATAATACACTCGCAACAGTTCCAAGTTTACGAAATGGACATTTTTGCTTTACGTTTGATAGTTTCATTATTGTATTACTTGCTAAGTAGATGTCCGTAACCCGGAGGACTTAAAACAGCCCTTTATAATCTTTTAAGAGATTTAAAAAATTGAACCTGTTGCTATTTAGAAAGGGGTTAATGTCAGCGTTAACTGTGGGATGGGCCTGCTGAAGCGTCTTTCCAAAGCAAGGGCCCTGCAGTGTGCTGACTGGTGCACACTCAGGTCCAGCAGGACCCCCATTCCAGGAGGACGGGTTACCTGAGGAGCCCCCACTCTCCACTGAGCTCTTGTTGTGGGCGAGTTTCTCCTCCAGACTCTGGACCGTCTCCTGCAGTTTGGCCTTGTCCGTCTCCAGAGATTGGACTGTGGACTGCAGAGTCTTGGCCATGAGCTTCTCCCCTCTCAAAACGGCAACCTGGCCAATCACACAATCGCACCCAGCCCCATGTTATTCCACACCCAGCAACACCCCCGAGCTCCAGGAAGGCGGTTTTTATATGGGCCAGTTGACTTTCCAGCTAGCTTCTTTCTGTTCTTATTCAGCAAAAATTTTAAATCAGAAGTCTTTTATACTGTCATAAAAGAAGTATAAATGTGAGAAGGCAGAATTAACACTGGGACACAGCTTTTCTGAGAGCTCAAAACGAAACACATTTCATGTTAAAAACAAGCCCGGTAGATCAAAGCAGAGCTTAAAACAGGCACAGTTAGCTGCTCTCACGGGGGAATGGCAGGGTTTCAAATCATCATGGCAAGTCTGCACAGGCATTGCATTTTCTGGAATCACACCTTCAAACACCACAGCAGTTCCCCAATTTATTAGGCTCCTCTGACGAAGGTCAGCCCACATTACCTCATTTCTGAGTGTCTCCAGCTCTTTGTCCTTCTCCAAGATCAAGGCACTAGTTTTTTGGATGGTGTTCTGCAAGGAAGCTTTCTCTTCATCGCATCCTTTCTTTGTCAAAGCCTCTCTGCAGAAGAACAAATTACCTCAGAAGAAAGTCAACAAAGCATGGAAGATGGCATCTTCGGCTACTGGGAGAAACAGATGGGGATGCGGCCTTTCAGCATGTATCTACTGTTGATATCTGGGTTCATGCGAATACAGCTAATCAAAAATGGGGAAGTTCTGAATCCAAAACAAATCTGGTGAAAGAACGTGCACTGTCAAAGTAAGAATGGCATCTCTATGGCTCACCAAGTCATTTATATGAGCTGCAAGTAAGAATAGGGACTGTAGATGATGCAATTATGTTTTACTGCCATGTTCGTATATCATATTTAAAATCCTCAATGATTACGTGTAGTAATTTGTGAATGGACCCATGAATTATTTTCAGTGTAGACTACCTGAGCAACACTGTACATGCTCCATCACTATGCCTTCAGAGATTTTGATGATGAAATACAGCTCCTAGTGCTTCTCACACTAACGATGGATTGTTTAGGTATAAAGACTTCTTAGGTTCCCAGGACATTTTTAGGAGAATTGCACACATTATACTGTATAACCTGCATGTGCTCACTTTTCTCAGAAGACAGACACGTTTGTGAGCCAAAAAACAATCCAGACATGTCTCTGAAGTCTACCAATAAAATATAAAAGCCACATTCATGCAAACACAGACTGTTTTCTGCTTTCTCTGCTGACCCCACCTGCTAACACCCCTCCAAACGGGCTTTAAGTGACGTCTAAGGTCGTGTAAATACTTTAGAAATGTTCTAAAATCAAAATATTTAGAATCATGAAATGAGACTTAAATCTTCTTCAAATTGAAATCTAGGGAACAAATCCTTCAAGGGCATCATAGACCAGAATCTACTCATGGATACCCATAATTGGATAGCTTCAATTATAAATTTATGGGAACTGGATTTTCTGTTAATTCACATGGGATTCTTAGAACAAAACGGGAGTTGTATTGGGTGTTCTGCCCAATGCTCATTTAATCAAGGCATTAGCATGCTGGAAATTCCCAATTCAGGTTCAGTCAGAGCACAAGAAAGAGAAACTGGGGACTAATGCGGATTGATGGTTCCGTTTAACATGAGGGCACAATGAGGGTTTGAGATGTTCAGCATATCTAAGCAGACAACTTGAAAAACAATGTTTTTATAAGCGCAAAAAGACACATAAAATTGCCACAACAATGACATGCTGGCTTGGCTAACATGGTAGGTAATGAGAGACATGAAAACAATCTGGGACAATTAGTTAGACTGGTTGATAACTATTTCACTGCTTAATGCATAACTTTCACCAAGGGGTATTTCAACAGTTTCCACAATAATAAAGAAAGAACCTATTATTTGTGTTATCATTGTGCTCATGAGTTAGACTTTACTTGCTGGCTTATCCCAGATTCTTTCCACACCATAAAAGTAACCAAATAAATCTGAATAAACTAATAACGAAGCAGGTACCTTAAAGTATTATTGGGCAAGCTTTAAAAATGCAAGATAACAGGAAGCGTACGTTAGAAACATGGCAGAGAAACGCCAAGTACATTGAGAAAGAAACATATCCAAAGTTTGCATTTAAATGTTTTGGAATAAAAAGAAAACAAATTTGAAATACAGCTTGGAATACAATTTAAAACTAAAAAAAAAAGCAAGACATTGTAAGGAAAGGCAGCAGCCAAAAATAAGATGTGTACCAAGAAAGTTTTAGATTGGGAAAAAATGATAACAATAAACACATGAAATGTAAATCATTTATTATAACGCGGATAGACTTTTTTCAGTCTTACCATCAAAGACAGACACACATAGCAGGGGAAGGCAAGATTAGGAAAGGGAAAAAGAGGATTCCGATGAGAAAGATTGGTAAGTAGGATGGCTTCCAAGTCAATATTAATATTAATAATTATTAGAACAACACAGAAAGATTAGAACTAGCAGTTTGGGTTAATACACTGTATATGTACAATCACAAATCACTACAGGCACAGTGTATAGTTCACTGTGTTGAGTCAATCTGGTTATGTTTCTACTGTTTTTCTCCCAGTAACTTTCTCCCAGAGACCTCCTGCGTCACATGAATACTTTGGACCACTGCAAACCCACTTAAGTATTGCAATGGCATCATGCTTTTTATTTCACTGGCACATGGAAACAGTGTAAAGACACGTGTTATAGTAATAATAATAGTAAAAAGGAAATATGTGTGTAATAACAGTTTGCAGCTTGAAGAACTGGAAGTATATTCCATTAAAGTCCTGTGTGGTTCCTGCTCAGTGAATAAAATGTAGTTGCATAATAGTTTTGTTAATGACAGGTTTTTCTCGTTTCTAAGAATTCACATACTTTTTCACAGTTGTATCACCTAGTGAATGCTTAAATCATGCCAATAACAAAAAATGTAAACATCTGTTTGCCTTTAGGCACAGTAACAGCTCAGAGGCTGTTAATTAATTAGGAAGAGATACTAACAGGCAAACCAGTCTGCGACTGAAGGAAAAAAACAGAGCATGCCGTAAAGGAAATAGACACAAAGGGATAGTGAAAATCAAACCTTAAAATATATCCTGAACCAAGAAATCCACTTTAAAAATAATGACGGCACTAGCTGTAGAAAAGAACTAAATCCTTTGAGACAGACATAAAAGCAGAAAACTTATCTTTTTTTAAAGTTCTTTTAAATAGGATACCTAAAATATTGCAATTCATTTTTTACTATGAAACCACAGTTACATTTTAATATCTGACTATTTTGACATCCTTCCATTACTGACATCCTGGTTGGAACACAGAGTAAATTAATTTAAGTTAGCTCTGGAAACAATGAAAATCCACTTCTACCATCCTTATCACTCAAAGAAAATTGAAAAGCACAACAGAAGTCCCTTCTCCATCAGCTAGGGTACCTCTTACCATGACTGGGCAGCTAGTCCAACACTTACTGTACTGCAGAAATACGGTTTACCTTGTGCAGTTGAAGGAGTCAAGGGACACAGCTGCTGGAATTAATGGAGGGTTTTGCTCTGTTAGGTGTCTTACCTCTTTTTCATCTCTAGGAGCTGATTGTTGAGGGCAGATCGCTCTTCTTCCAGCTAAAACAAGAGGGGGAAGGTCACCTAACAGGCCCGAGTTCCCAACAGAAGTGACATTTAGCAAAAGCAAATGCTTTCTGTGTGCTTTGAGCGATGTCTGATGTCCTTATCACCATCTAGGCAGCAAAATGCTCATCGGGGAAATTTAATTCAATCTGCTGTGTGCAAAACACCTCATTAAAAACCTTTTCTTTAAACTGGATTTCAAATAGAGGAGCTCTTTTTTGTCAGCTGCTTTCCTATGCTGGAACAGATTGACCGGCACACTTGCATGCCCTTGTGCACCTGGGGCTCTCTCACAGCGTGGCTGTTCAACAGCGAGCCCAGTATGAATAGCGGACGACTCTTTGATGTCAGTGGCGCCTACTGCTCTGTAACTCCTTCCTAACTGAGCTGTGGAGAGGACTGAGAACAAGTGAATAAAGGTGAGCGGTAAAGCCTTTCAAGAACATACTGGTGATTTCCACAGTGTCACTACACTCTGCCAGCATGCACAAATCCCTCATTAGATACAGGCATCAACTCGGGAGTGAATAAGAATCCTTTCACATTAAATGTGAAAGACCTTCCAGCAGCACCTGCTCACGATCTGCCAGCTCAGCTACAGCTGAAAAAAAGTCAGCGCAAACCAGGCACACACAATCGCTCATTCTGAATGTGCTTCAAAATAAGAAGCAGTTGTGGTGGCCTCCAATAATGTTATTCACTTGCTACACATACCAGTAGTGTGTCCACATAATTGTTTTGTATCCACACTACCTGCACAGCTTTGCAAATGGTATGGTGCTTAGTACTTCATTCATGTATTCATTTCTTTATTCTGTTGTGCTGCACTTTCTGAACTAGCATTATTGTACTTGCCTTTTATTTTCATTTTATTGTGCCTATTCTTGCTTGCAATTGTCTGTCTCATTTTGTACCTGCACTTATTGAAGAGGTTTGTAAATACTCTAAAGGCACTTCTGATGAGGTTAAACAGCAACTATACACACCCAGACAGAAAGCGTTTTCTGACCATGAAAGTATCCGGCTTTTGTCTTGAAAAATGAAAAAAAAAAACTGTCAATGTTTAAGAAATTGTGATAACTAATTTCAAGATGCCTTCCTACCTAATGTTTTGTGGTTGGCGCTCTTAGAGAGGAAATAATGGAATAAATGCGTGTGAGCCTGAGTGTCTGGGCTTGCCTGTATACTGGCCCATGTTAAGGACGGGGTCTTACCTTCTGGTGACTGCTGACCTCCTCTCGGCTGCGGCCCAGCTCCTCGGTCAGCTGGGCGTTCTCGTCTTGCAGAGCGGCCAGGCGCTGTGACTTCTGACTGGCCGCCAGCTTCAGCTCCTCGCTGCAAAGACGAGAAAGGCCGCCGTCACCAAGGCAACTTCAGGGGAGTACAGCAATGGAGGAGAGATGGGAAGGGAGACTGGGAAAGAGGGTAGTTGGAGAGGATGGTGAGGGGGGCCGGGCTTTGAACAGAAAAAAGGAGTAGCAATCTAGGTCAATATATATGCTAATCGGATGATAGTAGTTTTTTTCTCACTGCATTCTCCCTCCTAGCACTGCCGAGATATGGCTTGAATATTAAAAACAATGTCTTTTTTAAAAATCACACAAGCTTAGGAACATTTGAACAGCAAAAGCCTGCCACAAAGTCAGCTTGTTTCAAATCCTGCAACTCGGACCACAAAAAATTAAGCCAGGTTATTGAAAAGCTTCCTCTTGTGAGAGGGCAAAATGCGTGCCACGTGACGAAATGACCCGAAGACTGTGCAAAAAACAGGGCAGCTGGAGGCCAGAATGTACAGAGGTTTCACTTCAGGGTGGGTTTTAGTTTGGCTCATGGCATGACAGCACATACAATGAGAGAGAAAAAAGCATGTCGTCCAATTCACCCCCCCAACCCCCCAACAGGATTCAGCTAATGAAAGAACCAATACAGACTTTACTTCCAAGATGTGTCATTTTTAGATCTTTTGCACAGGGTAAGCTGTCACGCATCCCCTAACGTGTTTGTAAGCCAGTGCTATATGTGGATGTGTCCCTAGAGAGTTACATTTTGCTTTTGCTTCAGCAAGATGCCTGTACTCTTCAGCCTGGATAAATAAAGGTTTTCCTACACACTTGACTGCCAAAAACCTAAACCTCCTAAGTTAGGCTGGTGATGATGGTTCGTTCACCTCAGGAAGTCTGGACATGAATCCAGATGAGATCTTCAGTGATCAAAGGACCGTTTACAAGAGCAGAGATAATCATACTAACACGATGACGGATCAAAACACAGCAGTGAAAGAAAAGAGGCAAACATCCTCAACCGTTTTTTTAACAGTTTTAAAAAGAACAGTTATGAGATACAGTCATACAGACACATTCAGTGTCTCAACACTAAGGTGTGTAATTAGTTTTAAGTATTGCTGGATAAACAGGGTACCTATAAAGTTAAGTAGCAGTCTGAATAAACTATGAATAGCAGGCCTATTCATACAACTGTGGGACACTGTCAGGCAGGCCATTCCCACTATTTGTGCAACATGGTTCCTTCTGGTGCGTGCTGCTGTTGTCCTGTCGAGAAAGTTTCGGTGGTCTCATTTATATGTGTACTAAACATATTTGCCCCAGGACACAGTTTTCATAGTACAGGGCTTGATTAACTTCTAGAGACTTATCCATTGACATAACAGCAGAATTACCCAAACAGGTTTAATGTATGAAAAATCGTTCTAATCCTGAGCGGCACCAGCGGCAGATCGGTTATTAAACATGTCATCGGTTCCTGAAACGGAGCCGCTCAAGCGTGGAGGTCGTTCTCATCAGCTCCATCTGTAACTAATTCCTCAGGCTGCGAGGCAGCTGTGCCGATTGAGGCCGACTTCTAGCTGAATCAGTCCCGCTCCTTCATCAAGCTCCTTCAGACACCCTGATTGCTCCTGAAGCCCGCAGAGGCTGGGCTGGCGATTTCCACGTCTCTTCACGAGGGGTTTTACTCGCACCGATTTCTACAGTTCGATGTTGACGGGAAAGGCCAGTTTCTCTCCCGAAGCTCTCTCTAGTTAGCCAACAGCCCCTTGCTAAGAACAAAACGTGTTTGAGACATCTTTTTACTCATTTACAGGGCAACAGGGTGGAAGCGGCTCAAAACGTCACCTGCCTAGATTCCAAGCAATTCATTTTTTTATATAAGCCACATGTTACTGTACCCATAAAATTCAAAAGTTATATATAGTTTTAAAAAAATGGTGTATCTACACAAGAGCTAAACCATGACACCCATGTCTGCACTCAATATGCACAAAAATATCCTGGCAGAACACAATTAAGTGGCACATTAAAACAATCAATGTGGCACTGGGTTACTTAAGAAATTCTATGTTTATAAAAAGATGTGATGATCAACAATGTACAGTATTTTCAAAATATACTGTTAGCAGCACTGGCCTGTGTCAATAAAAATAAACTTTATTTTATATAGTACCTTTAAAAGTAGCATTTCAAAATGCTTTACAGTAGCTGTAAAACAGTTATAAGGACAGCAAAATACAAAATAAGTATATAAGAAACACAAAGCAGAAAGAGGTGCAGCGGAAGATTCAAGGTCATTCGAAAATGGAGCAGACTCAGACACTAATTAAAACCAATATGAAAAAAAAAGGTTTTGGGTTTAGATTTAAATGCACGCAGGAAAGGTGACTCACTAATATCCTTAGGGATAGAATTCCTGAGCTTTGGGGTGCAGCAAGAGAAGACCCTTTCACCCATAGAGTGCAGACCAGCTTGGGGGACAGACAGGAGATCAGAATTCGACTAATGAAGGTTGCAAGGTGGGGAGCAGGAAGATAGTAAGTCAGACAGGTACTGACGTGCCAAGCCATGTAGAGCTTTATAGGTGAACATGAAGATTTTGAAGTCCACTCGAACCCTGATAGGAAGCCAGTGGAAGGACTCCCAGACAGGCGTAATGATTGCTTATACACAACCTGGTCAGGATTCTGGCTGAACATATTGGGAGTTTGTTAAGTGTGAATTTAGATACCTCAGCAAGTAGGGCATTGCACTAATCAATTCTAGCAAAGACAAATGTGTTGATCAGCCTTTCTGCTATGGCCAAAGACAGCATTACACGCAGTCTGGCGATATTACTGTGATGGAAAAATGATGTTCTTCTGTTGAATGATAACATATTCTGTAAGCTCTCCCTAGTTGGGGAAGCAAGTTTCCTTTATCCAGAAAGGCCTGTATATATGTTACTACTGACATCCTATTCAGGGATCAGGACTCTACTCTTGAGTCTATATGATCACACATTTCAAGCAGGTGTGTGCATGTGTTGTGTGGGTGGGTGGGTGCATGTGGGTGAAGAAAAGCATATGAAAACACAAATCCAGAGGTTTTGTCTCAAGTGGACACAGTGCACTGATTTTTCTTCAAGCTACAAAATGTGTTTATATTAGGAAACATTTTCCAGCTGTTGGCATTCTTACTGATGCTTCAGACTGTAAAGTTTAAAAATAAATGCATCATGAAGAGTTAAACTGTGATTCATACATCAAGTTATTGGATGGGAAGACAACTTCCAAAGAACAAAAACCTGAAGGCAAATCAGCAGACGGAACCCAAGGTAATGAATGCACACATCACTGACAGTGTCTGACAAGCCGAGCACTTTCAGCAGAAAAGATGCAGTTATATAAAAGCTCAAGGATGTACCTTTGGGAAAACCAGTCAGAACATTTCTGAAAAAAAGTTTGCATCTCATGATGGCAAGGAGGTATTTAGATGCCCAGAATTAAAGACTGGATATGTAAGCCGATGAAAATATTAACAGGTTTTGGAACTCATGGCCCAGTTAATTTGCTGCTGATCCTAAAGCTAAATGGATTTTTGGCGGCCAAATCTTGATGAGGCCAAAATGTTGACAGTCTATTCAATTTCTTTGGAGTAGAGAGTATGTGTCCTGCCCATTTCATTGCACAACCAACAGAGGGCCAGTTCACCACTGCTTCCTGATGGAAGGCAGACGAGCTGCTCAGTGAAGAGCACTCTGTGACTAGACAGGTCCACTGTAATTATCACAAAGCTGTTAAGAGGTGCATGAGTGCCAGTGAATCAAAGGTTAAAAAAAAATAAAGTCAAGCTGTAATTCAGGCAGAATCACAGCATGGATATTCAGGTCAGTTTATCATTGTTAATCTAATGCAGAAAAAAAACTAATAACAAATAAAAGATGAGACGATACTATAAATGCTTCATGAAAGCCTGATTTAGATCTAGGTTTCAGACTGCCTTTCATGACCCACAGCACACAAACAGTATAATAAGAATGATGGGAGAACTGAGGCGCTGCTGTGTACTGTTCTGGGGGTCGTACCCCAAGAGTAAAAGTATGCAGGACATGCGCTCCAAGTGCAGGACACACAGCTGGAACATGCAAAACTGTATTACATTTACCTAAAACATTTTAAGCTCGATTCTTATCGCATTTTCTCATTATATAAAGAAATAAACAACATCTTGTTATTGGCAATAACACAATTTTCATATTTTAAGCAACAAGACTGGGATCTCTTCAGGAATAGGTAGCAATATTTCTTTTAAAGTAAAACTCCCTTTTTTTAATCAGAAAGCCATAATGAAACAGTCCCTTGCAATTTTCTACCATTATAAAAAAAGTAAAATGCATATTTGTTCCCTTCCAGATTAAAAACGTCATCTATGCGTTGTATCCTGGAGAGAATAAGCCATTCTTCTGCATAGCTACTCAATTACTGTTGTCCGATAGAGACTTCCATTAGCAGTGGAACGAACTGGGCTCATAGTAAAGCCTACAGTAATGAGGCCGATATAGATTATACCCCAAAGGGCACTCTAACCATGCAGCATGCTGAAAATGTCATGGATGAGGGCTTCCAGGCTTCTAATACACACAGCAGCTGATGTCACAACAGACACTGCAGTCATGAAAACAGGGACGCTTGCAGCTTTGTAATGCAAGCAGTCAGAACTCCACTCCATGTGTCTCACATCATTATCTTACATCAGTTAGCGCTTGCTAGCAAATAATGACGGATGATTATTTTGTTTTTGTATGAGATTTAATGTTATATGTATTCTCGGAAAAGAAGGAAGCACATTCCCTGTAATAAACTATGAGAGCTCTGTGAGGGTAGCCGATAGCGCCGCAGGCTCGCCTTTCCTGTTAACAGGCTACAACCTCCCTGCAAATCAACCCACTCTGGCGGTGAATCTGAGCACACAGCCGCGACCTGTCAAAAAACACAGGGGAGATCAGGAGGGGGACTTGGCGTGGACATCAGGCTCACGGTGGCTGCGATGCCACTCTTAACTTTCACAGCTGTCTCATTTAAGCACAAGGGCCGTTTCTAGCTCCTTCTCTTTCTCTCATGCTAAACTACTCTTGAAGAGGTTTATCAGCCCCATCTGTGACATTATGGATTCCCGTATCACAAACAGTATTAAATGTTTTAAAAGCTCTCAAGTTTTGACTAATCCGAAAGCAACCTTCATAGAGGATTCAAGATGTCACACTCCGGACTGTGAAATTTCACACAGCTGGCTTTTTACAGCACACATCTCTCTTGACGGCTAACCAGAGGAATGACAGGCTGGATGTAGCTGCGGTTAAACTTCATCCCGTGCAGTAATTAAAACCAGTCCTTGTGTGTTTCAATACACCTTAATCAAAATGGCAGCTACTGGTGTGGAAACAGACTGAGCGCTCACCAGATGAGCCTGTGGACAGTGCAGCAGTGCGTTACAAAACTATGATCTCTTATTTTTCCTTACAAACGGGGTAAGAACTGCGTATTACCTGAAATTCAGCATGAATATCTGAATATACAAATCAATTAAAATGTGCTTAAAATCTTCCTAGTGGTGAAGACTGAGGATTAAAGAATTATAAAGAAAACCAAGCAAAGATGATCACACATGCCCATGTATAAAAACAGTCTGGCATTTGACCCCTTTCAAGAAAATGCTACAAATACCCATTGACATACATAGATAAGCAAAGAATACGTACAAACAGCTGGTACTCACATCTCTTTGCAGAGACTCCCTATCCTCTTGTTCTCCGAGCCGAGTTGCTCTTTGGACAGGTTGAGCTCCTCCTGAAATTCTGAGTTCTGTTGTTGCAAAGCATCAAGCTGCCAAAGGAGAAGGAGAAGAAAGCAGGGTGAAGGCAACATGACTCGTCACACGGCCCGTGTCAGCAGACGGCTCGCTTTACTTCCTTTGGGTCAACGTCCCCAGCTGCCAGTGTGGCAAGGCAATCAGGACCTTCTCATGACACTCAGAAACCTAGAACTTCTCCCCAGTTCCCGTTTACATCTTGTTGTTTTGTTTCCTCCAGGCAGGGCATTTCGTGTCACAACACCACTTCTAAACAGCGCAGTGACATGTCACACTGTTTATATTCTTTCCTCTGTCCTGAACGACAACAAGTTCTTCAAACAGAAAATGAGACATTCGAGTAAATCTGCGGTATAGATGTCTCATGCATTTTTCAAAACAAGCTTTTCTACCAATAAAGTGAAAAGTGGATGTACAGAATTCCAATACCGTTCAAATGTAATGAGTCCTAGCACAAACATTATTCTATCAATCATCTTATAACCACAGAGCTAAGAAGCACACACTGAGTGGCATGCCAACACAAGGCTCGTGTAAATGCAGCAGACAAAGACACTGTTGCACTTAAGAAAATGTTATTTCTATTTCATACTTACAGTTCTACATAGCACTGAACTACTGATCACATGGTTCTGAACAGTTTTAAATTGTTCAGACTTTAAGGTCTTACAGAACAACAAGTGCACAGATTTTGTCGAACTTCCAGAGGACGTTTTGTCTTGGCTACTGAAACACGAGAGAGAAAGCAAGGTCTTTCCAACGGCATCTAAAATGCTCATAATCAAAAGCTAATTTTATTCTTTAATTTGCATTTGCAGTGTACTCATCAGGCTGGTTACATTTGTCCAGATCTATCCATTGCATTCGATAATTCAGAAAAAAATAGACTACATTGATTTAAAAAAAAATCTTTACAATGCAAATAGCAATAGTAACATGTTCTGTGATATGCCGATCACTTTCCACAAGACTGTTCTCTACAATACTCTATGACAGCTATTCCGAGTTAAGCCATTCACTCCAGCGCTTCAGCGGACGGCAGAAACTGCATGGGAACTGGTAGTCACTGCTTGTCTCCTTGAAGCGCGCAGCTTTAAGCAAAACAGGTAAGTGCTTATATATCTCTCCACTCAACGCTGCTTCAAAAAACGCACTACACAATAAATGAATGAAGATATGATGTTGGTTTCCAAAGAAGTCTTACTTCACGCATTAAATCCCAAAAGGGAAGCAAGCGTATTTACAAACGCAGCCTGAACGACACATAAAAACAAAGTCACACACACGTACAGTACCTTAAAACGAGAGACATACAAGCTGGAGTATCTTTGCTGTAAGGCTGTCACCTCCATTCCTGTTGTTGCTCAGCTGCTCCCAAGTAAAGCAGCAAGGCTATGAATAATGGAGGACTGCCCCCAGAAGAGCGAAGAGTGCTTTATGGACTGTAAGGGTTCAGTCTTTGCCACTCGCCCAAGTACACAATGAAACTGGCACTGGATTACATAACACACTCTTAAGTCCCTTGCTGATGCTGTGAGGACCCCCCCCCCCAGCCCATACCCATCAGCAGCCAATCAATGCAGCCCAGTCATCTCTTTAGCCAATCAGACACCAGCATTGAGAACAGTGCCGTCCACTTCATTTCCAACAGCGGCTTGTGGTCTCTGTCACAACACATTCTCGTCAAAGAGCCAATGTGTAGTCCTTGCAGGATAGCCCTGGCTTCCCACATACAGACCACCGGGGATTCTTCTGGACCATTCAGCTCTGATAAATTCAGACTCCAGAGGTATCAGACTCTGGCATTACAACATGGTGTTTTATTTTCTTATAAAACAATTTGTTACCACTAGACCATTCTGCTTGCATCTTTCACTCTTCTGGATTGGAAACAAAAACAACTTTGGGATGGTTCATTTTTTCATTTTTCATTTTTTTTTTACAGACAAAAATAAGAGATTAAATAATGGATGAGTTAGAAAGTGATGATATCATCTGTGGTATAAAATACAGCAGCTTTTAAGAGAAGCAGAACTAATCTACATTACAATCACTGCTAATAACGAGATACAAGAGGAACAGCAGATAGGAAAGTGAAGGAGAGGTTAGTTTTGGAAGAATGTTTTTTACACTTATTCATTGTTCTCGCTGTAGAAGAAAATAATGTAATCATTTCTGTTCTGTTGGGGAAAAAAAACTTGTTCAACAATTGGCAAAAATAAATCATATACATATGGGCTCAGGAATAGGATATCAGGGCCACCTCTAGATTGTTTCTGAGAGATTGATGATGCTTTCATAATTGTAATGGGAAACACAAAGACAAGTTTAGTAAGCCAAAGGCTAACTTTTCTGTTACGTGTCGAAATAAACCCACAGAAACTCATCTCAATCACACTTTGTTTTGAATGGAAGATGGAAAATTCCAATCAGTTGCCCAGTTTTACAGCTACAAGATGCATCAAGTATCCATTTCAGGTGGTGGAAGACCAATTTTTAGTATAAAGTGTTAACAGAGGGCAACAGAATGCCAGACAAGTATTGCAAAACCAATAAGTAAAGATATGCAGTGTTTCAAAATCAAAATATGCAAAAGCTGTTGTTGGTCTTAACACAATTTCTCTGTAAATACAAATACTTAAGAGTTTGACATCTCAGGGTTGGCACAGGAAAAAGTAAAACCTTTCTAAACAGAAAACATCAGGAAGATCTGTCATGTTCAACAATACAGCCACATGTGCATTCTTCTCCCTGTCTCTAATCCTAATCCTTTTCTGCAATTGCATCATCACACCTGCCATCTGGCCTGCAAGCCAGGCCAGGGAAATCTGCACTCAGCACACAACAGAGGGCTGGACTTGGGCAAAAAAAAAAGCTTGCAATGAAAACGGAGAGCAAGCTTGCCTTAATATCACAGCTGATCTGACATGCACATTCCATGGCCCTACAGCTGCAAATGGCATTATGAAGCAGTGCCCATAGCACTGTTCTGATTAGGAGACAGCTGGACTATTATGCAAGCACACGTTTTAAGTTGGCAAGCAAGTCCTGAGGCACGTGTGTTTCTGCTATTCTATTTTCACCACCCACACAGGTTGTCACAAAAAACAGCCCATATTCCACAACCCATTTACTGCATTTCGCAGTGCACTGTAGCAACCATCGATCAAGTCAGACCAATATTTAGGTGACACTGAAGCACTCACACTTTGTATGAGGGTAATTAAATAAGCAAAAAAACAGGAGTTGAGTTAATGCTTAATACATGGAAAGACTATGGCTATAAAAATCATCCCTCCAATAATAGTATAAAGGTTAAAGACTCTATAAATATAAAGAACAGTATGAATACAAATGATCTTTCAAAAGAAATCAGCTGCTACAGTCACCCTGCTAAGAACTGTAGGCTTTTCAGTCTGACAGGAAGAATGACAGATACAGTTTCGAAAAGTAGTAGTTTCTTGAACAGCTCCAGCTCTGCCCTACAGCCACGGACAGCATGCAGTTCTTCCTTGTGGAGGGGAGAAGAGCTGGTTAACCCACAGAGTGCCCGAGACCTCACCTGCTGCTGCAGGTCCTGAATGGTCTTCCTGCTCTCCCCCAGGGCGCCGAGAGCCTCCGCCTTCTCCTGCTGCAGGGACTCAGCCTCCTGTTTGGCTGTTTGAGCAGCCTGAGCGCAAGGAGAAAGGCTGTGTTAATAAATCATGCTCCCAAGTAGCTTTCCAGCTACCCCTGAATCATGTAAAAAAAAACCCAACAAATTACACTGTAGGACTGTAGGCTGAGCTCACATAGGAATACCGGGATTTCTCCCTCTCCCCTTCCTCCTCAGGCTTTTTAAAACTGTCTATGATAAAAAAAAACAGCTAAAAAATATTGTACAGATCTGATACTTCCACTTTATATTAAGTCTTTGATTCTCCCAGGAGCATTTTCCACATGATTTTAAACCATTTGGCAGATAACCAATGCCCATTCACTGAAACCCATTCATAGAAAAAAAATTACTTTCTTGCCATTTAATTATCAATGAATCTTTTTTGGATTAGAATGCAGCACTAGTGTTTAACTACTGCATTGCATGTTTAGAAATAATAATTATAACATAGGCAATCTACAGCTAGATTACTGAAATGCTGCTGGCAATTTTGTCTGCTTCAGTAATGGTGGATAAAAAATATTTTTTTGTGAAATAATATTCACGTATAAGTACACATTATGAAACAAGTTTTTATGAACTCATACATGTATACAATGAAAGACGAATACTAGTACAATGTGCTTTGTCATTAGATGGTGGTTATGTTGTTATAAGTATTCATCCTTAAATAGGTCACAAGATGATAGAGACCATGACTAAAGTCATTGATTTCCAGTGAAATTCAACATCTTATTGGTGTGATACACACCTGCTGTTTCAATTTCTACAATCATCATTTTTCCACTTTTTGCCCAGACCATTGAATCTTCTTTTATCCACCAGGACTACAACAGACGTGATTTAGAATGCTTGACATTTCTCATGCATCATCGCACTCAACATGTGAAAACATTTTCAAAAACCCAAGCGATTTCCTAGTTGCTGTGTTCTGTCTCTTGCAATGATGGCATTTAGCCCACAGAGATCTAGGCAGTTTATACCATCCATCGGCAGAGAACTGAAGGAAAATTAATGTATTTAATGGAATTAGTAGTTAAAAAAATATGCTGCATCAGAAGCGCAGAAAACCAAGCCATTTTGCTTCACATTAGTGAGGTGGTTAGTATTTGCATGTATTGTACCTCAAGCCGCTCTGACAAAGCATTTTTGTGAAGAGCTTCTAGTTCTGAGAATTTCAGGATGGTTTCGCTTCTCTCTCTTAGCAAGGCCTCTCTCTCACTCTCCAGAGCTTTCAAGCTAGCAGACATTTCTTCATAGGCTTTAGCAGAAGCTGCAGCTTCTTCGCTGAGGGCCTTCTGCTTCTGCTCGAATATTGTCTTCTCATTACAAAGAGCCTCATTCTCAGAGAGCAGTGTTTCGTGAGCAGCCCGGAGTCCTTCTTTCTCCATTAGCAGCCTGGAGCGCTCTGAATCCGTGTTCTCTTGGTCTCTCCTGAGACACTCCAAGTCTTTCTTCAGGATGGATGCGGAGACTACAAGTTCGGCCTTTTCTCTTGCTAAGGAGGTCAATTCTTTCTCTAACTCCTCCACCCTAGACACCAGGCCTCCCTTTTCTGCTACAAGCTCTTGTTCTCGGTCCTCACGCTGCTTTTGCAGAGATTTCAGCTCCTCCTTCTCTCTATGTAGGGTTTCTTTCTCAGACTGCACTTCCTTCAGACTGGCAGCGATTTCTGCTTTTTCTTTAGCAGTGGCAGATGATTCTTCGCAAAGATTCTTATGCGTCTCTTCTAAACAGGCTTTCTCGTGAAGAAGAGTCTCGATTTCAGAGAGAAGTGTGGTGTGAGATGCCCGCAGCACTTCCATTTCCATAAATAATCTGGAGCGCTCGGAGTCTGTGATCTCTTGGTTACTACGCAGACACTCCAAGTCTTCCTTTAGCCTTGACTCTGACTGTAGGAGCTCCGACTTTTCTTTGGCCAAGGTGGCAAAATGTTTCTCCAGCTCCTCAATCTTGGTAAGCAGGGTCTCCTTTTCAGCTTCAAGGCCACGTCTTTCCTCATCACTGGTCTTCTGCTGGGATTCAAGATGTTCCTTTGCCTGGAAAAGGGACTCCTTCTCAGCACGGAGGTGTTTCTCCTGAATGAGGAGATCTTCTTTCTCTTGGTGTAACAGTCGCAGGCTATTCTGCAGCTCTGAATTGTTGGCAGCCTTGGCGTCTATTTCTAGTTTAAGCTTATTCCTTTCTTGTGTCAGTTGCTCCTTTGCACATCTAGTTTCCTCCTCCAGTTTTTGAGACCTAACTTCCAGATCAGCCTTATCTTTTAGTAGGGTTTCCTTGTCAGACCGCTCCCTCTGAAGACGAACGAGCAGCTCCTCTTTCTCCTGCTGAAGCGATGCTTTCTCAGCCTCCAACGTCTCCTTGCCTTGACTAATCTCTTGCAGCAAAGAGGACAGACTAGCTTTTGCAGCCTGTAAACTGGCACTCTCCTTGGCAGATTCTTCAATCTCACTTTTCAATCTCCTGATATCCTCTAGAAGCTGGTCCTTCTCCTGAGCCAATGTTGCCTTCTCAGAAAGCTCTCTCTCATGCTTCTCCTCCAGGTCTTCTTTCTCTTTCAGGAAGGACTTTTTGTCAGTCTCCTGCTGTAGCGCTTTGGATTCCAGTGCCTCTTTTTGTTGCTGCAAGAAGTGGAATTCCCTCTCAAGCTTTGTGAGCTTTTGAGAGAGGGACTCCTTCTCTTTGGTCAATGTTGCAATCTCCTGTTGGAACTTCTCTTTAGCGACCAAAGACTCTTGGGAAGACAGGTGGAGCATCTCAGCAGTCTCCTCCCTCTCCTTCAGGAGCTGCTCCTTCTCTGCACTCACTCTCCTCTGAGCTGCCAGCAAGTCCTCTTTCTCCTGAAGGAGATGAAGACGCTCAGAGTCTGTCACTTCTCTGCTGGTCTTAATTTCTTCTAGGAGCTTAGCCAGGCTATCTTTGGAGGCTTGCAGCTCACGATTATCGTGCACAGACTTGTCCAAGTCCTTTCTGGCAATACTCAGATGACTCTTAAGCTCCTCCTTTTCTGCTAAAAGGGCGTCTTTATCAGAGATAATCGTATGAAGTTGGGAAAGGAGCACTGCTTTCTCTTTCTCCAGAATCTCTTTGTCCATGAGCAGCTGGGAATTTGTGACACTAAGTTCTTCCCTCTCTCTGGTTAATGAGACACATTTGGTTTGTAGCTCAGAGTGAGCAATGTCCAGGGAGTACTTCTCACTTCTTGCCATGTCTCTTTCTGCAACCAGCTTCTCGCGCTCCGTCGTCATTTCCTCACGGCTCTGCCTGAGCTCATCCACGGCATTGTCTCTCTCCTGGTACAATATGTCGTAATCCTCCATCAGCTGTTTCTTCACTGACTCCTGAAGCTGAATCTCCTTTTGGTACTTCAGAAGATCTTGTTCCCTCTCATTATTGCATTTCCGAAGTTCCTCCACATTGGCCGTCAGCTCCAGCTCCGAGATCCTGAGGTTCTTGTTTTCTGTTGTGGTTTTCTCAATGTCTGCTCTCAGGTCTTCCACAGCTTGAGAAAGCTTCTCATTATCCAAGGACACCCTTCCTCTTTCATGATCTAACTGTTGGTTTCGGGAGGACAGCTCTTCCTTTTCCTTTAGAAGCTGGTTGTTTAGGAGCAGTAATTCCTCAAGTTTCAAGGACAGATCTTGGTCTTTCTCCTCCATGGAGGACAACCTTAGCTCTAGATCCAAAGCCTTCTCCTGCAACATCTCATTCTGAGCATGGAGCGCCTCTATTTCCTTCAAGTGCTGGTCTTTCATCAATTCTAGTTCTCTCACTTCCCCAGTTAACCGTTCAGTCAGCCCTTGGGCGGATGCTAGCTCAGCAGTTAGAGACTATAAGAATAAAGTAAAGGGGAAGGGAAAGGTAAAAAATGGAATTCAGCAAATGAATGGAACCAAAACACAACAGGGTGGGTTAAAGTCATGCAAGCAAAAAAGGACCAGTAGGGAAGTAAAGACAAGACCAAAAACATCAAGTGACCAAAAACCCTACCACAACTTAACATGTGGGAGTTACTGTGGGTTACAATGAGAAACCTAATGATGATCAAGGTAATGGTGATGTCTAAAGACGAAGATGACGATGAAGTATCCTGACAATACTCGTTAACAACAGCCATGGTGCTATTTCAATCAAAAGCTCATCTTTGCCTGTTAGAATCTGTTTGAATGTTTATCCATTATCCATTCCAAGACTCATCTCATAGAAAAAAACACATAGAATTCCATTCGGTGTTTTAATCCTAACTCAAATAACATGAGATGGGACAGATCATTTCAATAATAAAAGTGACGACTGCTGTTTTTCCATCTACCCATTTTCTAACCCCTGCATCAAATTCAGGGTCGAGGGGAAGCCGGAGCCAATCCCAGCCTGCTTGGCCTGCTCTTGTCTTGTTCTTGTACACCCTGGACAGGATGACATAGACATGCACACCCACACCAGGACCAATTTTCCCAGAAGCCAATTAACCCACCAGTATGTCTTAGTACTGTGGGAGGAAGGTGGAACACCTAGAGGAAACCCATGCAATCACAGAGAGAAAATACAACTCCACTCAGATGGCACCCCAGGTCTGCAATTGAACCCAGCGTTCCAGTCCTGAGAGGCAGCAATGTTAACCACTGCGCCAACATACCACCCTATCATTGCTTTTAAATTCATAATGAATATCAGTGTTTGTACATTTGCTTCAAACACAATACGGTTTTCAAACATGAATGCACAAACACGATTAAGGTAGTGTAGGAAGAATTACAGGCCTAGACGGAATTACTGACTGACCTTCCCTGCTGTAGGGAACAGGATATCATTATTTCACTTGGCCACAAGTAATTCTAATTAATGTGCACGCTAATTTTTGCTATGCGTATTTTAAGGAAACTGTTTAAAAAACTGACAGCACGTTGCAGGGACAGTGACCTTTTGAGTGCTTTGTGACCGTCACAGATTATTGCAGAATCATTAGTATGCATAAAGACTACTCTGACAGCCTCTATGCAGGTCGTTAACTGTGTTTTTTATGTTTCTTTTACATAGAAGACTAAGACTAAGTTCTAGACTATGTTTAGAACTTTTATAAATGGAATTAGAAATTCAGTTTTGGATGGAATTAGACATGTTATATTCCCAGGAAATGAATGGTAACAGTAAAAAACGCATCAATTGTGTGAAGCAGGTGCTAGCTTACTATTACTGCTTTCAGTAAATAACTGGAGATCTGGTTTGCACTTTTACTTTTACTGGAAAAGTATGCTAGGGATGTGACAGTAAAACCATGAATGAAACAACTTCCACTCTTCACACAGGTATATAAGTAGATTAAGGAAGAGCCTCCTCAATCCACAACAAGAGTGACACAAACGGCCCTGGTGGGGAATGACCAGCACGTCTAGTTTACTATTACAAATCTATTTCTCTGTAGATGAATGTACCTCACTGGCCAAAATATTAGGAACTGCCAGACAAACATGCAGATGCTCTCAGTAGAAAGCAAGGTGCTTGAAACTGGCTTCATGGCCAAACCAATCCCCAGATCTCAAAAAGCAGGCAGTTCAACCCCTTATATAACAAAAACACCTTTGTAACATCCCTAGAGGGAGACCCTGCTGATGGGACAAATCTGCTCACACTTCAGCACCATAAAACGCACTCTGTGGTGCTCTTGTGTCCTTGCTGCTTGGACATAGATATAAAACCTTATCAGTGGGGGTTCCTAATATTTTGGACAAGGTGTATATACATTCTAACTAACAATTCTGCATGTCTGAATCTACAGTTAAAAACACCCATATAATAAATGTGAAAAGAAAGCCAAAGAAAAACCACAGAAGGTCCTCAAGCAGGCAATTAACCTGAAAAGAAAATACAGATTTAAAGACCCGTAAAAGGAAAGCCTACCAGTTCACAAATATATACTGTACATGTATTGCACATAGCCTAGTCATAATAATTCTAAATGAGAGCCACATGTAAATTCTGTTGCTCTGTCTGGGCTGTAAACTGAGCTGCGTTATGAAAGGCTGCTAAAAGCAATCCTGCTAATCAAAGTGCACAGAATATTATTTTTTTTACCCAATTAAAAAAATAGCAAAGCAATCGGAAAGAAAGGGAATGAATCTCGAGCAGCCCTTTAACACAACAGACCTCGTTTGACACATTTTGAAGAGCTCACTACTTGTAAGGAATGCTCAGTGGTTTTCAGACAGGAAAACTGAACACTGCAATGGTGTGGAAGTGTCTATAAGTGGGCTAATAGTGACTACAGGTGTGACATATGGTACACAATATCAAGGAAAACCAACTTATAAAAATAGGTGTCTTTCTGAATTATGCGTTATTGCAAATTAAAAGCACGTACCATGGCCTTTTCCTTATGCTGCCGGAGCTCAGCAATTAGGGTCTCCATTTCTCTGTTCTTGTCCAGGGAACTGCGCAGGGCCTGCTCGGCCTGCTCTTGTTTGTGCAGCAGCTCCTTCAGTGCTTGCTCGTGTTTGTCGGTTTCTTCCTTCAGTGTCTTCTCGTGAGAGGCCTGCAGCTCCTTGCTCCGAGCCTGGCTATTGGCAACATCCTTCTCCTGATATGGGGAAAAAAAAAAAAACAGGTTGAAGAGCCTTTGGCGTGTTCATTAAAGCACAAGAAGCACGCTGTGTTATACATATGGCAAGTGAGGTCTCTGGCCTGGAGTCCTGTTTAGAGCAAGCCTCTCTGCAAACAAAACTGAGGGGGCAGCCATTGTGGCTGAACAAACTCCTGAACAAAAAACCTGGAAGCTGTTTTCCAGTCAGCTTCTTCTCCTGAACATGGAGAGTTCACCTGGAGAGGTTCACGGGCTGCAGACCTCTACAGACTACTCCACCGCTCAGAAAGCCAGCGATGGCCACCCTGGTTAACCTGCAGCCCGGGTTGCAAGGCATCCTTACCAGCTCTGCCAGCCTCTCCTGCAGAGCCTGCAGTCCAGCCCGATGTTTCTCCTCGCTCTCCTGGCGGGCCTGCTCGGCGCGGGCCTGGGCCAGCTGCAGACTCTCTTCGGCCCGCGCCGCCTTCTCGCTGGCCTCCCCAAGTAGCTTCTGCTGCTCCTCCAGCCTCCTGTGAAAAGGACCTCCCTGGTGAGGACAGGCATGGGCAGAGAGCAGCGCAGAAGTCCGCACTGGTACTGAAGCAGGCGGATGAAGACAAACCACACCCACCCACTTTCAGCAATGATGTTATATATGGTGGACGCAGGTATTACAACTTTATCAAGAAACGTCGCATCCACATTTCATACTGTCCTTTGATTGATTACTTCTGGTATGGAAACCAAGCTAGGAAACCTAATGGATCGAGGTGTCTTTGTGTAATCCACATTTCCTGGCTGACTGGATGAATTTTGTTGGAACAAACATTCAGCACAGCAGCCACGTCTCGACCGCAGTCCCCTACACAGGAGAGCCTACAGTCTGAGAGGGAAAGGGCACGGTGGGTACCTTTCTTTCTGAGTGAGCTCGTCGTTCATTTTGGTGAGCTGGGCAGAGCTGTCCCCCGATGACTTCATCATATCTGAAATGTCGCCCTCCAGCTTCGCTTTGTCCTGGGCCAGTTGCTCCAGTCTCTCATCACTTGCCTTGGCTTTCCTTTCCATTGCTACAATAGGAAGGAAAAACAAAGCAAATTAACAGAAAATAACGTTAACATTCTCTCTACACTGCAGGTCAAATGCACGGGTAGAAGCAAAGAGAATCTAAAGGCAAAATGTTTCGGACTCACAAATATCTCGGCAATGTTGAACATACAGCCATCTCTTGCCTGAGAACTTGAAGGCAGAAACTGTTGTCTCCTAAATAACATGACGACCCAAAAACCTTTGGCATGGTTAAGGAGAAGACAGTCCTGGTCCTGGAGGGCCACTGTGTTTGTGGGTTTTCTTTCCAGCTTTTAATGAGCTAAAGCAGCAAACAAGTGGATAAACTGAGTAGCTTCTCTCAGCTCTTCAGGGGCTGTTGCTTCAGAAAGACCTAGAAAACCTGCAGCCCCTATGGGACCAGGATTGGAGTCTATAGTACATCTTTTCCTTTGTGGAAGACAGTGGGCTGATGGACTGTACATGTGTCTCAACTTACTGTAAGTCCGTAAAGTTTAAATACGTGTGTGAATGTGTTGCATGTGCGCGTTGGGCTGTCATCTTTGTATATTATTACAGCACTTTGAAGGAAAGGCAAAAAACCTGCAAGCTGGCTCCTTATAGTCTCTGCGTCCGCAGACAAGGACAAGCACTGCTCTTCTTTTTGTTTGAGTTTCTCAAGTGTTTCTAAAATCCAAAGGGAAACAAATATCAAGAAATATCTAAAAAATAAAACCATAATAAACCAACATGAACTGCCACTAAAATTCTGTTTCTGGGGCAAAATAACTCGCTTTTAAATTAAAAAATCTTTTGCCGAACCACAGGACCCCCAGCAGCACCCCTAACCTCTGAATCGCAGAACAGGCCATGCACAGAGAGCACTGCGACAACTTGGTTGATTTGAAAGGGACCACTAACCTCAATGATATAGGATCATTTACAAAAGGCTCCATATAGAAAATATATACTACAGATGAAGCTCACATCACAATCACAAAACTAGTATTTAAATAGTGAAAATGTGGCATTCCTTATACATATTGAGCTTAACAACTAAGTAAAACTAAGTAGTAAGTCCTAAAAGTACTAATCACACCAAGAGAATATTCACTGTACCTTGCATAACGCGTTGAACTTTATTCTGATCATCTGAGGCTCCATCGAGCTTTTGTTTCTAGAAAGCCAAGAGAACAAAGATTTACGCTGGCACTGAGGCACCAATAACTTCACCTAAATGGGATGTTAATTGTTATAGAAACATTTCCAATATGCAGACACTTAATAAGACGTCTTACAAATTTTTACAAGAAACAACAAGCAGATGTATCTCTGTTAAAAATAAAAAAACTTTGATATAACTGAAGGTGCATCTCTGAAACATTTCATTGCTCAAAGGGAAACGGGAAGAGTCACATCGCCCCCTAGTGGCAAATCAATTTCTTGAGACGCGCTAAGAATCCTTTTTAATTGAGAAAAAATTAATGTGAACTTCATTATGTTAACCTTATTTATGAATACAAACCTCGCTATTTAACCTTATTAATTTCAATAAAATGTTTTATGTATTCAGTCGATAACCTAAAACAGTGCTTTTTGTTGTGAAATGTGCACACAATATTTCCACTCTGCTTGAATGAACAGCTTCTGGGTTTCTATGGACCTACCTGCATTCCAGTAGCAAAGTGGACCGCAAGACCTACAGTAAAGTGGTTACTTACCAGGCTCTCCAGCTGCTGCTCCAGAGAGCTCTTATCCTGGCTGAGGGTAGCCAGGCTATGCTCTAGAGAAGAGACCTGCTGTGTTTTCCCATCCAGCTCTCTGGCCAATTCACTGACCTGAAGCACGATTGGTGAAATGGGTGAAGGGAAAACAAATGGGAACAAAACTTGAAACAAAAATAAAGGTGAACAGAACACATCCATGTAAAAAAAAATAAAAGTAAAAAAAAATGACTTTAATAAACACCTTCAAGATATTCCTGAGTTTCTGCTTTCTTACCAAAAAGTCATACTTGAGATAAATTTTGAGGACAGTAGGGACTTAGTTCAGTTTTGACCAACAGACTGTTGCTTTACAGCTAAGCAATGAAAATCTAAAAGCAATAGCACTAAAATTACTCCATTTCAGAAGTAAAAATAATGGGGCATTGTAAGGAAAATGTAGATTTCAATATTTTGTTTGCCAATCAACCTGCAAAAGTTGCTCATCTGTTCTAAGAGTTTATACACACCATCTCAGAATAGGAAGGCTTTGATTAATCTTTTTTTAAAAAGCTGGTACATAGCTTAAAGACAAAACGGTAATGGGCGTTAATATCTAGAATGAGAGGATATTGTGATCATGGTGACAACATAAGATGATGAGATGAAGGGACACGCACCTTGTTGCCCTGAGAGATTGACTGGGCGTCTGCTGTCCCCAGCTTGGCTTTCAGTCTCTGGAGCTCCTCATTACCTTCAGCCTGTGCTTTCCGCAAGGACTCCAGAGCGGTCAGCTGCTCCTCGGCCTGCCTGACCTGCTCCTTCAGGCTATCGATGAGCTTGCCCTTCTCGCTGGCCACGTTCTCCAGCTCCTCCAGCTCCTTTACCTTCAGCTCGGTGTTGTGCAACTTGCTCAGGACATCTTCCATCTCCACCAGATGCTGCTCCTCCACAGTCTCCAGGTTGGTCTTGAGGTTCTCGACCAGTTTCTCCTTCTCCTCCGTCACCTCCAGCAGCTTGGCCTTCAGGTCCTCAACTTCCTTGAGCCATGCCACCTTCTCCAAATCGCGCTTGACTCCGATGTTCTCAAGCTCAGTCTTGTGACCCAGCTTGATCTTCTCCAGGGAACTTTTCAGCTCTACTAGTTCAGCCGACTGAGCTCCTGCCCCCTTACTGAAGGACACCTTCAGCTCCTCCATAGCTTGCTGATGGGAGGCAATGGCAGACTCCAGCTTTGAGCGCCAGAGCTCAATGACATCCGAGTTCTCCTTGTCCGCGTGGCTCAATTTGGTCTTCAGCACCTCGTTCTCTTTGGAGAGCTTCTCGACAGTTGCCTTCAACATGGACATCCCTTGCTGATGCCCCTTCTCCGAGCTTTCAAGTTTCTCTTTCAAGGCTTTCAGTTCACTTTGGTGATCTTTGCTCACTGAGGCTAGCTGGTCTCTCATTGAGCTCAGCTCCTCCAGCAACGGAGTGGTCGAGTCCGTGTCTCCCGACCCTTGGGAGGTTTCTAGTCTGTGCCGAAGGTCTGCCACCTCTTTCACGCGCAGTGCCAGGTCTTTCTCCAGTTCCATAATTCGGGACTTCTCCGAAACGGTGGCTACCTACAGAACATCACATTTCTCTCTCAAAAGTCATTTTTTCATTTCTGCAACCAAGATATTGGTTGCAAAGACTGAAAGAACAAGTAACATTCTTTGGGATGACTGGCTAAGTCTCGTCCTGCTGGGACATTTCAGGTCAGCTGTCTGTTCCAAGCAGGCCCTAAACAAACATCTGAATTGCTGCCCAATAACCCTTAGTAGCCTGCTTAGAAAAAGACTGGCGATCAGAAAGGGAATCTCTGAAGTGTATTCTGTACCATAAGAGGTAGCTAACTTCAGCTGGCTAGTTTCATGGAGGAACGAAGGGAGGTCAAGTAGCTGCGGAAAGAAATTCTGCCACCGTCTGCACTCCAGGCTCCTAGAAATCATCAGAAAAAAGGGACCAAAGCCAGTAGATGTCTAGAGGAAAGGAAGGAGCCGGTAGCAGGACAGCCCCAGGCAAGCAGACGGGCTGGAAGAGGCAGGTGGGAAGTGGCACCAGCATGAGCTCATGGGTGCGGTGCAGTAGAGCAGGAGGAAAACCAGGGCAGACACCAAGACTGGTGGAACACAGACGCAGGCATCAGGACACACACACAGCCAAGTCTCAAGAGTACTTATCACCATCCAAGCCTACTCCTCCACATGAAGTGGAAAGCTTTCCAGTTTAGGGTCTGTTTGGAACACAGTACTGCCCTGGAATGACCTTTGATAATCCTGGCTGTCACCATTGACAGAGTTTGTAAATATATAGTTATTAATATGAAATGAATGTGCAATCATTATCCAGGTCCTCAAAACTGCAGTTATTGGCATGTTAATAAACTACTGGCCTATTCCTTAAATTGGTCTACAATTCTGAAATAAAGTTGCTAGTCCAATTTGTTTGACTGTGGTTTTCCAATCAGCAGTGCTCAGACATCTTTTCCACCTGCTGTTTTTTACTCAACAACTTCTATGCTTCTTATAATAAATGCGCCATGCAAGCAAAAAAATGAGTCGACTTACAACATGAGCTCAATTCCCCCACCTGACATCATATTTCAGAATTTTTTTTGTGTGGTAGTACTTTAAGGAGCAATACAGTTTTGTCATCTTTAAAACAAAGGACAAAAAAATGTTAAGAGAATTATCTGCTGAGATAAAATCCTTTACACCAGTTTCACAATTGGTTGCCTTGGGCTTTAATTTTTGCTGCATGAGGGTAACCACCCGGGGGTGAGGACCAAAAAAAACTGAAAAAAGGCATTTATCTTCTGATATGTCTGACTGTAGATTATTCATTATTCAACCAGCACTCTGTTATGCTTTTACTGAGGCCTGCCTAAAAAAGCGTCAAGCCTTGAAGGCTCATCAAGTATTTCTGCTTCTCCCTGAGTGACATATGAGAAAATGCTGATAATGGGTGACCTAAATCACCCCCCAACCCCCTGGGCCTCTCTGGGGACTTGAGGAAGCCTGTTACCCAGACTGTACAGAGCAAGATCCATTACCCTAGTGTCTTCTAACTCTCTCTGGAGTTTGTCAGCTTTGGTCTTTTCAAAGAGCAGGCTCTGTTCAAGCTCCTTAATGCGGGCATGCTCCAGTTTGGTCTGCGTCTGTTAGTAAAAAGGGAGAGGAAGAGAACACACCAGTGCCACCATCACATGCCAGCACGATGGGAGAAGAGCCACATGCAGGCCGTGCTGCCAGCGCCTTTCACCGGGAGGGGAGTGGCTGAGAAGAGTAGGAGGGTGAGAAGGGGTGGGGGCAAGAGAGGGAGCGTGGGGCTGCTGCTGCTGCTGCTGAGGGCAATGGATTTGTTTTTGTTGTGATCGAAGGTGAGATGATCGCAAGAAAGAAAAGATTTATGGACAAAAAAGGATCATGCAGTAAGTGTATCTCTGTTTTTTTACACAAACAGAGAAAAGGTCCAGTGGCCACACGTCAAAGTAAGCAGCAGTGGTGACAGCAGTAAAACCTGTCCCTGCCATCAAGTCTTTAATGTGCTTAATGCATAGCATGGCCCATAAGAACGTAAAACTGCTGCTTATTCTAAAGCATCGCCAAAGCCTTTTTTTAGTTCAATGCGTATTAGAGGAGTTAATACAAATACATACCATAAACCCCCAGAAGCCTCAAATGATCTCTGGTTTTAATGCGTTTTTTTTTATGAAACAAAATTCAACTCAAAATGATTGAACAAAAAGAATAAGGTTGCATGAGTTTTGGAATTAAACAAAATTAAAAGGGAGCTGTGTGATAGCGCTAAGGTATCCCCAGTGGCTTGCTCAGCTGTGACATCTGCAGTGTCAATCCGCTAAGGCACACCAGTGGATACCAAGAGAACAGCAGCAATAACAGATCACTTTCATTGAAGGGTTTACAGCACATCATCGGAGTTATTATCCACAGAGCACTTTTAAATATCACTGGAGAGTAACATGCACACAATTAATAAAGTTGATGCTGAAAGAACTGTGTAGTTAGTGTTGGAACCAATTCAATGCAGAACATTCCTTTTGATTAAATCAGATTTTCAACGTAGGGTGTCTTTGGCAAATGGCTGGGCTTTTCCTGGACTGATGAAACAAATATATACATACATTCATAAATAGTGACAAGGGACACAATACATCCCCATAACCAGATGGCTGCTGTGCAATTTATAATGGCTGGCTATTAGCCTTGGCAGAAACAGTCAAGGAAGCTGAATTCACAAAGCAGACAGAATGCACTCCACTAAAAGGTTATAATAAAAACGCAATGGAGTGACAGGTCTGGTGTCAACCTCAAGGTAAGAGAATGAATGTATTTGCAAGTTCTGTAGTATTTCTAAGCAGGGAAAAGAAAATGGGTCATATTATTTACTACGCCAGATTGGACAGTGCGGCAAAGTGTGTTTAAATGCCTTCACAGACACCCAACGTTGCTGGGAAAACTGGCACAGTTTGGTTCTCTGAAGCTCTACTCAGTAACTTCCATAGCACTAAATACCTGCACTGCAGCCTTCCTACAAACAGGCTTGCACCAATTTAGGCTACTTTTCATTCTTTTATTAATGAAAGTAAGGTGACCCTGAACTCGCTACAGCACAGATATTACAATAACCTCGAAATTAAACGGGACCGCAGAGGAAATCTAGGCTCGGAAAAACTGGTCAGGCTGTAGAGAACCCTCCCAAAGCAGTCCGACTGAAAGCATATTCAGAGCAAGGCTCCGTCAGATTGTGTAACACTTAAGACAAAAACGTGGCTGAGCACACATAAACCTAAATCCGTTACTGATCTCATACGACTTTTATCTATTCTATCCCTAGGCATAAAATATCCAGATTTCCAATTCAAACTTTCCATTCTCCAGCTTCTGTCCATTTCCTCTGAGCTGTTCCTGTCTATTCTTGGGACACAATTTTTTCATTCTTTGGCTTCCACAATACTGCAGCCACCATTCATTTATCTTTATAATGCAAAAGGAGAAAATATGCATTATGCAAATATGCAAAGATCCAAAAAAATATATTGAATGCTGATAAGAAAAGAAATAACCACCACAATCATTTGCAATTATTTGCAAATCCTAATATGTCCACATATACTCAGGGACAAAGCACCATAAATCTGTACAGCCCACTGTCTAAGAGTAACTAATCTTGGGACACAGAGAACACTAAACCAAAGGTTGCCAGTTTTAACCTTTAAAAAATTTTCTCCTGAGATTCGAAAAGGATGATTATTGTGTATTAGGTATTAAAATAAGCAAAGCAAGACTGGTGCTTGTTACAAAAATAAGAAAATAAAGTGGTTATCTAGGGTCATTAGAAAGATTGTGCCAATGCTGCCACCCAGCTGGAGGTGCCAAGCTGAGCAGAAGAAAAAAAAAGAAGAAAAAAAAACCCAAAAAACTAATCTCAGAGCTCTGGCTTCCTCAACTGCCGATCTATGTGGATTTGCATTTTCAGTTCATTTCATCTTTATCCCCTGAAGCAGCCTCAGGCTCCAGGTTTCTGGGTGTCTGTTTACCTCCAGGTCACCTTTGGTAATACAAGCCTCCTCCACACGAAACTGCAGGTCTTCCACTTTCCTGTTGGACACAAAAGCAACACAGTCACCCCAAGGCACTGATGCACTGGGCCTTCACCAAAAAAATGATATTTTCTCCCACTATGTTTCTAACCAGTAATGGAGGAAACTGTCTTGCTTCTTTGCACAGCATCACAGAAACTTTTAGGTGGCAGAGATTTTGACAGACTACTGTTTTACCCAACGGGACATAAAAGTTGGGAAAACTAAATTCTAAATTTCCAGCCTTTTCGTAATTCCTTCTCCAGCTAAGGGCCCCCATATGAGCGCTGTGGAAGAGGACAGTGTCCCCTGTCCCTGACCCTCACCTCTTCTCCTCCTCCAGCTGGTTGAGCAGCTCCACCTTGTCCTTATCTGCAGCCTCCACCAGTGTGCGCAGCTGGTCCATCTTGGCCTCCATCTCCAGTACATACTGGGAGCACACAGCACAGACAGGAGTCACCAGTCAGATAGATACCGAATGATACCACTATCACCACACGCCATAGCCTGACTGTAATATTACACTGCGGGTCTGGCAAGCCAGCCTGATGTAAATCAGGAATGTGCCATTGAATACTACTAGGACTCCCACATACTGTTGTGAATCAGTCATGTGGGTGTTCATTCCAACTAACGAGCTAACCCAGCTCGTTAATGGCCTGACTGGACCAACTAACAGCTTCTCCCAGCTCTTCAGATGTGGCAGCATTACCCAAGACCCAGAGACCCAGAAAACCAGTAGACATGACGACCCCTCATGACGACCGTATAGCACACCCCTGATGTGATGCACTTATGTAAAAAAAACAGACTATGCATTTTAAAATCCATTGATATCATCCTGTCAATAATGACACGCCAGTGAGGTAAATGAAAGTCTTACGTCAGTTTGGCAGTGAATTTTACCACATGACACCTTTCACATGTGCAGGTTTATGACTCCCTATTTGACTCCGCATGTCTCTATATAACACATCTCAGGTGGGAAAAGTCAAGGACAGAAAAAAGGAATGATGGCCTTTGGAATTCTTTAGGAATACTCCGATTCTGCTGCAAGCGCTGAAGAGCATGGGTGGCAGCCAGGGGGCAGCAGCGAGCGAGCCAGCCCGGCCTCACCTGCTCGTGGCCGTCCCTGAGCAGCGCGAGCTCTTGCTCGATCTCCCCCACGTGGCTGGTTGCCTTGGCGACCTCGGCCCTCTCCACGTCGCGCTCCGCCAGGAGCTGCTCGATGTGCTGCTGCTTCTCCTTCAGGGCCTCCTGCAGCGCCGTGGTGCCCGAGATCTTCCTGGCGTAGCGCGAGGACGTCTCCGTCAGCTGGGGCGGGAGTGGGCAACAAGAGTAGGTCAACCCGCCCGACATTCACCCGCCCTGCGGTCACTCCCACAGCGAATGCAACTGAAAGCTGCCTGCAGTCTAACAGCACACCCAGCCTCAGCTTTCTTTTCCTTAAAAAGATCAAACTGGCAGTGCCCAGTGCAGGACAAAACAGCGTAATCCAATTCTTCTGGGGGTGCTTGCTACTGTATGTGTAGCCCCTTACTTAACTGCACAATCTCAGCTGCAAAATTCTTGTTTTTTGCACACAAACATCCTGTGTGCACAAGACCGCTAAAAAAACAATTTTCCTGCACTATTCCACTTTTTTGTGCACCTCATTTTCCTCTCTGTTATGCACACAGCGCACTGAAACCGAGGAAGGATTTGCAAACGCAAAGATGACGAAAGAAAAATCCTAAAGGAACACTGACAGTTTATACTCATAAAGGTTCAAAACTATTGACAGCCTGACAGAACTACTGCTAAAACAAACTGAGCAGCGATCTTGGGTTGGCATCAAACGCAGCCTCTCAGCCCATTCATGTAAAGGCAGTCACACCCTGCAATGGCAGGCGGGAGATGATAACATTACAGCCGGTGGGCAAGGAAGGCGGGCGGCAGGGGTCCGAGGCCCCGGGTCTCACCAGGCCGGTGCGGCTGGGCTTCCCGCTCACCGAGGAGGCCACCGAGCTCAGGGAGCTGATGGAGGAGGCGCTGGGGCTGCGCTTCAGGGCCGACGGCGTGGCCACCACCTTGCGCACCGTGGTCTTGGACTTGGCCGGCGTCGTGGAGGGAAAGCCAATCCTGGTGACTTTGTGCACGGGCGCAAACAACCCGTACTTCGGCTGGCACTGAAAGTACCTAGGCAGAAAGAAAAGATGAGCCCCTCTAAATATCTAAACGTCCCCACAAACGCCTCCCTTTCCCACAGCATGGCGGAGACAGTAAAGAAGTGCTTCGGATAATGAGCTACACAGTACCTGAAGGGCAGAGTACTCATAGTGAACACTTTCAAACACAGGCAATGGTGAGAGCAGGAACCATTCCACATACAAAACAGAAACGCTTCCACAAGCAATGAGGAGCTTGTCTGTCCGGACTCAGATGAGACGGGACTGGAGCATGCCGTGTTTTATGTCTGAGTTGAAATCAACCCTGGCCCGGTGTTAACCACCGGAGTGCCGATGCCACCGACACAAAGGAGCAGAGAAAGGCGGGTACCTGGTTCCGGCCACAGCGCCGTCATTCTTGCCCAGGGGCTCGTCGAGCTCCACCCCGCACCACTCCCCCTTGGCGAAGTCGGTCTCTCCCAGGAAGCGCACCACCCCCGCCTTGGTGCCCCCAACCTGCCAGGAGACACAGCTAGGTTACAGACGAGAGGAGGCCATTGGGCACACCTGGCCTGTTTGGTGGCTGTTAGCTTACTGATCCAAGGAGCCCACCCTGACGTTTCTTGAAGGAAGCCAAAGCGTGCACTTCTACCACAAGGGCTGGGTAGCTTGTTCCATAAGCCCACAACCCTTTGGGTACAGAAGTACCCTGTGTCCACATTTTTAAACTGTCTCTGGGTGGTCTTTGTCAAAGGCACTGTGAACAGGCCAGTCAGGCTCAGCTCAGCAACAGGCGAGGCTAAGCGTAAAGCTAACTGACAAAGGTGGATCTCTCACCAGGATGTATGATTCATTTTATATCTGATCTTCATAATCAGATCAATAAATGTGTTTTTAGAAATCCCACTCCTCACAACAACACATTCCAACATTCTTACAGTTCTGGTTGTCATTCTTTCTAAGATGTGCTCAGATACAGTTGTTTATGCCAAATTTGAAGAACTAATAACCTAGTCTATAGTTTAATTAAGCTTTAAAATAAATGAGAGATTAAATGTTTTCTGTAGTTACTGTACAGTAGATCCCAACTACAAGAGACAGAAAAAACATTACTTCTGCCTTCATGCAGAAACATCAGCCTTTGACCACATGGTCTGATTAGAAATACGCTCCTGTTTATTTTTGGCTGCTTGAAGCTCTTCCTGTGGTAGTTCATAACAGACCATCAGTTTCCTGTTCAAACAGCCGTAAATATAAACAAGAAAGTGAGACAGCCATCACTGAACACCCCACACGGCCTGCGCTCCTTCTGTCCTGAGCAGGATGAATACGGGAGAGACGGTGGGAGAGCGCGTGGGATTGAAGTGGACTAATGATGTACATGCCAAGAGACGGTGGCTAACTTCATGCCAAGACAAAGATGATGAAAGCCAAGGAGATCTTTTGAAATGCACAGGGTGGCAGCCCCACAGCACACACAAATCCCTTTTAAAACGAGCTTGCAATCTGGCAAAATGTTCTTCTCCGTTCCCAGAAACCAAAAGCATTTTTAAAACTCTTCTATTTCCAATGCAAACATCCCATCTTTATACCAATTGGCCTTCACCAAACATGGATGGATGTATTTCTAACTTCATAAAAGCCTGTAATGTACACAGATTATCTTCTATACTTTAACCTACATCTATATTCTTATGTCCAAAATCAGCATTATTTGAAAACAGGCCAGGTAATTAGGGTGGGGTGAGCTGTTCATGGTTAATATATAGTTTTATTTGATTAATTAAAGAACTTTATGATAAAAGACACAGATAGCACGCTGGGTAAGTGCATGACGCATTCAACTATGACAAAACTAGAACATTAAAAAAGGATGAAACCAGCCAAATCTCTGTAAGCAAAACCTTAATTTGCTAAATAGTCATCTTGGCTAACAAGCTAACAAAGCCAGGTGCACACGTTTTATGCAAAGTGACAGGACTAATTTGTAAGTACTTTTTCATGGGATGTTGACATTGACAGTGCCCTAACCCTTTGGAGTCCCTATTCCAGGGACAGAAAGATGTCCCTGCGGATGGAGACGTCAGTACAATCTCATTCCCACACTGACGAGGGCTGTCCATCAGAGCCAGCAGGAGACTCACCAGCACGCGATCCCCGATCCTCAGCTCCCGCTCGCCCTTCTTCACGGAGCCGGCCTCGGACAGGTTCGAGATGGACTCGCTGGCGGCGCGGGTCAGGGCGCCCGGCGTGGTGGGTGTGGCGGCGCTGGGGGTCTTGGGAGGGGCGGGAGGGGTGGCGGG